CCACCACCAACATAAAGAAGAAACTGAGAAAACCCAGGTAGCTAACTCTATGATTATTGGTGCAACTATTTCACAGGGGGAGCACTATGCAAGTTCCAGGTACTTGTTTATTTGATCTTTTGGACAGATAGAAGGTGTCTGGTGCTCACACTGAGGACAGGCAGTGTTTTTACACAATGTATTCGGTCTTGACAGTTCCATTTTTTTCCACTTTTTTTTTTTTGTGCCAAAGCTGAGGCTTGAAATCAGGGTCTGGCCACTGTCCCTGAGGTTTTTTGCTCAAGGTTAGTGCTTTACAACTTGAGCTACATCTCCACTTTCAGCTTTTTGCTGGTTAGTTGGAATAAGAGTATCATGGGTGACTTCAAACCCCAATCCTTAGACTCAGTCTCCTGAGTAGCTAAGATTACAGGTATGGACCACCAGTTCACAGCTAAGACTTTTTTTTTTTTTTTTTTAATTTTTTTTTGGGGTCCGGTTGTGGGGCCTGAACTCTGGGCCTGGGTTCTGTCCCTCAGCTCTTCAGCTGAAGGCTAGCGCTCTACCACTTGAGCCACAGTGCCACTTCCGGCTTTTTTCTTTTTGCTTATGTGGTGCTGAGGAATCGAACTCAGGGCCTCATGCATGCAAGGCAAGCACTCTACCACTGAGCCACCTTCCCAGCCCCATAAGACTTTTTTTTTGGTCAGATGTGGGTGCTGAACTCTGGGACCGGGGCACTGTCCCCTCAGCTCTTCAGCTCAAGACTAGTGCCCTACCACTTGAGCCACAGTGCCACTTCTGACTTTTTTCTGCTTTTTTTTTTTTTTGGGTCCGGTCATGGGGCCTGAACTCTGGGCCTGGGCGCTGTCCCTCAGCTCTTCAGCTCAAGACTAGCGCTCTACCACTTGAGCCACAGCGCCACTTCTGACTTTTTTCTTTTTGCTTATGTGGTACTGAGGAATTGAACCCAGGGCCTCATGCGTGCAAGGCAAGCACTCTACCACTGAGCCATCTTCCCAGCCCCGACTTCTTTTCTTTTATTTTTTAAGCCCTGAATGGCCAGAGTTGGTGGTTCCTACCTGTAATCCTAGCTACACAGGAGGCTGAGACCTGAGGATTGGTTCAAAAAAGACATACCAGGCAGAAATATCTGTAAGACACTTATCTCCAAGTAAACACTAGAACAACAGAAGTAGAGCTATGTCTCAAGTGGTAGAATGTTACTGTTGAGCACAAAAAACTTAGAGGAACAGCACCCAGGCCTTGAGTTCAAGCCCCAGGACCAACCACACACACAAAGAACCTTGCATGTTTCTCATGTAAAATGGAATTATTTCAGCAGTTATTCTTATTCTCAGTTAATGACACTCATTTAAAATATATTTCCCCCCTGCTGGGCGCTGGTGGCTCATGCCTGTAATCCTCGCTACTCAGGAGTCTGAGATATGAAGATCGAGGTTCAAAGCCAGCCCAGGCAGGAAAGTCCATGAGACTCTTACCTCCAATAAATCACCAGAAAACTGGAAGTGGCGCTGTGGCTCAAGTGGTAGAGCACTTGCCTTGAGCTGAAGAGCTGAGGGACAGTGCTCAGGCCCAAAGTTCAAGCCCCACAACTGACCCCCAAAAAAAAATTTTTTTTTTCCACCCCATACCTCTCTTCAGCTTGAACTCAGACCTTTGGCGCTAGGCTTTTTATTGTTGTTGGTGGTGGTGGTTGTGGGCTTGAACTCTAGGCCTGAGCAATGTCCCTGAGCCTTTTTATGTTCAAGTCCACATTGCCACTTCTGGTGGTTAATTGGAGATGAGAATCTCACAGACTTTCCTGCCTGAGCTGGCTTTGAAAACCATGATCCTTAGATCTCCACCTCCTGAGTAGCTAGGATTACAGGTGTGAGCCACTGGTGCCTAGCTCGTTAGGCGTTTTTACTCAGGGTTGATGCCCAACCACTTGAGCCACTTCTACTTCTCTACATCTGAGAATGACTTAAATAATGTACCTATGGTCACGTGACTTCCACTGACTAGAACTAAAGCTTTGGATTTCAGGACTCTCAGCCTTGAACTTCAGAGTCAAGTGGACTGACATTCCTCAGCCTTAGAGAAAACTACCTGAGCTTAGGCTCCACCATTAGAAACTGATTAAACTGCTTGGGAGGGAATCTGAGATCTGTAAGGTGTTTTTAAAGTTACCTACATGCAGATAATATTGAGAAACAGTCATTAGATGAGGGATTCTCCTGCCCTACATCTCACATCTTATCTGCCAACTTGCCAAGCTTGTTCACACTGAAATTTCCTCCCTTTCTGTGTTGCTGTGTTGCTGTGTGTGTGTGTGTGTGTGTGTTGCTGAGGATCAAACCCATACCTGTGGACTTGCACATGCTGGGCAAATTCTCTCCCACTGAGCTACAAACAGTCATGTTTCACTTTTAAACAACTTTTTATTGTAGAATAGATAAAAATGTATAGAAAATTGGAGTTACAGGAGAGAAAACTCCCATATACAAATACCTCACTCACACTCAGTTCTCTAGAAAAGCCTTTTTATTATTACTAGTGCTGCATTTCTCAAAACTAACCAATATTGATACATTATTATTAACTAGAGGTCATACTTTATTCAGATTTCCTTTCTTTCTTTCTTTCTTTCTTTCTTTCTTTCTTTCTTTCTTTCTTTCTTTCTTTCTTTCTTTCTTTCTTTCTTTCTGTCTGTCTCTCTCTCTCTCTCTCTTTCTTTCTGTCTTTCTTTCTTTCTTTTTTCTTTGTGTTGGTTGTGGGGCCTGAACTCTGGGCTTGGGTGCTTCCCCCCAGCTCTTCAGCTCAAGGCTAGCCCTCTACCACTTGAGCCACAACGCCACTTCCGGCTTTTTTCTTTTTGCTTATGTGGTGCTGAGGAATCGAACCCAGGGCCTCAGGCATGCAAGGCAAGCACTCTACCACTGAGCCACCTTCCCAGTCCCCCCCCCCCCCCCCTTTTTTTTTTTTTTTTTAAACTTTAGTGGAAATAAGAGTCTCACAGACTTTCCAGCCTGGACTGGCTTTGAACTGTGATCTTGTGAATCCTGAGTAGCCAGGATTACTGACTTGAGCCTACTACTGACTTAGAAACAGTTTTATCTAAGGCTCCTTTTGGATATGACAGGTTTTTTTTGACTTTCCTTGTTTTTGGTGATGTAGAATTTTCAGGATGGGTTTTGTGGAATGGTTCCCAAATGTGATTTGTCAGGTGGATTTCTTATGATTGGGTGGCTGAGATTGTAGGTTTCGGGGAGGATCATCACAGATGTCTGGCAAGACTTGTTTTTTTTTTTTTTTGTCTTTTCTTTTTTGGCACTGGGGATCAAACCCAGGACGTTGCACTTGCTAGGCAAGCGCTTTGCCACTGAGCTACATCCCAGCGCTGTCTGGCAAGACTTTGATTACAAGTTTGATTGCAGGTATTAAGGGCACATACTACTCTTTTTTTTTTTGGTTGGTCGTGTGGCTTGAACTCTAGGCCTGAGCGCTGTCCCTAAGCTCTTCAGCTCAAGACAAGCACTCTACCACTTGAGCCACAGTACCACTTCCAGTTTTCTACTGGTTAGTTGGAGATAAGAGTCTCAGGGACTATCTTTCCTGGGCTGGCTTTGAACAGCAATCCTCACGTCTCAGCCTCCTGAGTAGCTAGGATGACAGGCGTGAGCCACCGGTGCCTGGCTGAGGAGGCCTTCCTTGAACACCCAATCTGAAGGACTTTCAGAACAAAATGAAAACTATTTCTTTTCTGTGTATGCATATGGTTTGTTTTGGTCAAGGGCATGCAGATTTACTGGGGGCAGGTACATTTATATTCTGGATATTTTATATACCAAGTCAGTTAATATATGTTGATGTGTTAATGAATTATCCTGTCTTGGGTGTGTCTAGTCTGGTTTTAATACAGGTTTGTTCTGTTGGGCTTCCTGTTTAACTGCCTCCCTGTTTATGAAAGGGTTTTGCTTGCAAATTAGATTAGATTTCAGTATATTGAAAATGTGCAGTTATTCTGAATGGGCTCTCTACAATGTTTATAACTTTTTTAAAGATTATTTTTATTTTATTATGTTGTTGTTGTTGGTGGTGGTTGTGGGATTTGAACTCTGGGGCTGGGCACTGTCCCTCAGCTCTTCAGCTTAAGGCTAGCAATCTACCACTTCCAGTTTTCTGGTTTATTGGAGATGAGTCTCACAGGGCTGGAAAGGTGCTTCACGTGCATGAGGTACTGGGTTCAATTCCTCAGCACCACATAAACAGAAAAGGCCAGAAATGGTGCTGTGGCTCAAATGGTAGAGTACTAGCCTTGAACTGAAGAGCTGAGGGACAGTGCCCAGACTCAGAGTTTAAGCCCAACAGATCAAAAAAAAAAAAAAAATGTCTACAGACTTTCCTGTCTGGGCTGGCTTTGAACCGTGATCCTCAGATCTCAGCCTCCTGAGTAGCTAAGATGACAGGCCTGAGCCACTGGTGCCTGGCTATTTTTTTTTTTCTTGCCAGTCCTGGGGCGCACTGTCCCTGAGCTTCTTTTGCTCAAGGCTAGCACTTTGCGGCAGGAAGCACAGCCTCACTTCTGGCTTTTTCTGTTTATGAGGTACTGAGGAATCAAACCCAGGGCTTCATGCATGCGAGGCAAGCACTCTACCACTAAGCTATATTCCCACCCTGAAAATGGGCATTTTTAATCATCAGCCTGACATCTAATCATTTAGAGTTTGAAAATCCCAGTGGGGCTGGTGATGTAGCCTAGTGTTAGAGGAAGTGTTGACCTAGCATCCATTAGGTCCCAGGTTTTTATCCCCACCACCATAAACCAAAACAAACTCAGTGTGTTGATGCAGTGAGATTTTTGGAATAGTTTCTAGAGAAGTCAGCTGAATCGGTGAAGTTTTGACATACTTTCACATCACCTTCAACACTTACTCATTAATGATTCCATTAGAGATAAATATAGTAAGTCCTTTTATTTCCCCCAAAGTAACATCTTGTCTTCATCCCTTTTTCAGGATCTGACTGGGATCGAGTCTATGGATCAGTGTCGGCATACCTTGGAACAGCATAACTGGAACATAGAGGTACAATAGGATTCATTCGAAGCTCATTTATTTTTCCTCTGCTCTGATAAAAGAATGAAATAGATTTTTTTTTTCCCATGACATATCTTTCAGCATTATGACTCCTTAGGTTTTAAAAATACTAGTATGAGAAATACAGAAGATGTGAAAATTTATGAAAATGCAGGACAAGTCTGATCCAAACCGTTTAATATAGTGCCTCCCTGTTTTCTTTTTTTAATAAAATACAGAACACCTCATGAGTTTGCCCATCATCCTTGCATCAGGGTTATGCTAATCTTTGTATAATTCCAATTTGAGGCTATCTACTACTGAAATGAGCACCCTTGTGTTTTCTTTTTCTTTTCTTTTTTGTCAGTTGTGGGGCCTGAACTCTGGGCCTGGGCGCTGTCCCTGTGCTCTTCAGCTCAAAGGCTAGCACTCTCCCACTTGAGCCACTGTGCCCACGTTGGGCTTTTTCTGTGTATGTGGTGCCGAGGAATCAAACCCAGGGCCTCATGCGTGCAAGGAAAGCACTCTACCACTGAGCCACCTTCCTAGCACTCTTGTGTTTTCTTAATGGCTGTTTGGAAATTTTTCTTTTGGTTTTTAATATTTAGGAGTGTGTGTGTGTGTGTGTGTGTGTGTGTGTGTGTGTATTGGAGTTTAAGTGTTGTCTCTTTAGCTTTTTTTGCTCAAGTCTAGTGCTCTTCCACTTGAGCCATACCTCTACGTCTGGCTTTGGATGTTTAATTGGAGATGAGAGTTTTATGAACCTTCCTGAGTGGGTAGACGTTGAATTTTAATCCTCAGATCTCAGCCTCCTAAGTAGCTAGGATTATAGTCACGAGCCCCCAGTGCTTGACTTAATATTTAATTTTATCTAGAGCCTTAACAAGAGGCTTTTTACTGAATATTTTTGAGTTTATTCTTTGGGGGTTTCCTGGTAGTCTTTATTATCTTGCCACTCTATGTTTGTTTGTTTGTCAGTCCTGGGGCTTGAACTCAAGGCCCGGGTGCTGTCCCTGAGCATTTTTGTGCCCAAGGCTAGTCCTCTACCACTTGAACCACAGAACCGCTTGTGGCATTTTTGAGTAGTTTATTGGAGATAAGAGTCTCTTGGGAGATAAGAGTCTCTTGGGAGCTTTTCTGCTCAGGCTGGCTTTGGACAGTGGTCCTCAGATCTCCTGAGTTGCTAGAATTACAGGCATAAGCCACTGGCGCCAGGCCTTTGTTTCTGCTTTTAGTAAGTGTTCTATTCTCATGACCACATCACTTCCCAAAGCTCCTGCTTCCCAACAACATGGCATTGGTTATAGATTGTTTTTTTCTTGGTCTGTCGTGGGGCTTGAACTCTGCGCCTGGGCGCTGTCCCTCAGATCTTCAGCTCAAGGCCAGTGTTCTACCCCTTAAGCCACAGTACCACTTCCAGTTTTCTTGTGGTTTATTGGAGATAAGGGTCTCATGGACTTTCCTGCCCAGGCTGGCTTTGAACCATGATCCTCAGATCTCAGCCTCCTGAGTAGCTAGGATGGCAGGTGTGAGCCACCGGCGCCCGGCAGATTATTTGCTTTTGAGAACAGGGTGTCATTATGTAGCGCAGACTGCCATGGGACTTAGGAGGTCGGCGAGGCTGGCCTCAAGTTGGGGATCTTCCTGTCTTGGCCTCAGTTTAACATTGATTTGTAAAACTTCCTTGTTGAATCATAGGAAAATGGGCGCGGGTGGAGGGGCTTCCTGAAATGAGTGAGATCACAAAGTTAAAAGCCAGCTATTAAGTTCAGAGGACTCCTGGCCCTCTCAAAGACCACACTTAGTTGTGACAGCAACTCCCAAGTTCTGAGGGTTTCAGAAGCCACCCTCAGGATCATGGTTCACTAGAACTCACTGGCAGCTTTACATTCACGGCTGTAGTAGGTGATAGGGAAACGATGCAGTAGAGTGGAGTCTCCGCTGTCCTCAGACATATAGCTGACACACTGGTCTCTTATAGAGCCCTCCTGCCCAGCTGTGTGACACTGTGCTTAACCTGTTGCTAACCAGAGACTGGTGCTTGAGCTCGAGCATCCTAAGGTTTTTTATTGGTTGTGGGGCTTGAACTCTTTGCCTGAGCGCTGTCCCTCAGCTTTTCAGCTCAAAGCAAGTGCTCTACCACTTGAGCCACAGCTCCACTTCGGCTTTTTCTGCTTATGTGGTGCTGAGGAATTGAACCCTGGGCCTCATGCATGCAAGGCAAGCGCTCTACCACTGAGCCACCTTCCCAGCCCTGTCCCTGAGCTCTTTTGTTCAAGGCTAGCGCTCTACCACTTGAGCCACATCTCTACTTCTGGCTCTTTTTGGTGGTTAGTTGGGGATAAGAGTCTCACAGACTTTTCTGCCTGGGCTGGCTTTGAACCTTGCTCTTCAGATCTCAGCTTTCTGAGTAACTAGGATCATAGGCCTGAGCCACCAGTGCCCAGTATATCTTGAGGTTTTTTTTTTTTTTTTAGCCTGGCGCACGGGGGGGGGGGGGGGGGGGGGGGGGGGAGGGGCACTACCGGCTTCACACTGTCTACAGTCTATATCCTGAGTTTTTACTGGGTTTCATTCCATAGGCAAGATTGATAGTGATTCATTTGGCTTCCTATGTGTTTGACTCAGTCTCCAAGTTGACTATTACCAAGTCATTCCTATCCTAAATCACATAGCTGGTCTTTCTGGCATGGCCAGTCTTCATCCTATGCCTTTTGGGTCAAGCAGCTCCAACTGTAATCCAGGAACAAAAAAGGCATCCAAATTGGCCATGAATGGGATATTTTGCAGAGGCTAAGGTCAGGCGTTTCTTTGGGTCTGGTCAGATTTTTTTACTGTACTGAGACAGACAGTCATTTTGAAGGGCAAAGTTGAAAAGAGAATGAGTTTTGCTTTAAATGAATGTTAGTGGTGTGTAGGAGGTGCGTTAGAATTTTTATGTGTGCACATCTCATTAAAGTTTCAAATTAACCCAGAGCTATTATTGTTCTTTTATTTTGCATATGAGGAACCTAAAGCTCACATGGTGAATGACTTTTCTGGGCAATGGAGCTAGGTAGAATTCTGAGCTACATTTCTGGATTTTTTTTTAGGTGTGTGTCTGCCAGTCCTAGGGGTTGAACTCAGGGCCTGGGTGCTCTCCGTGATCATTTTTTTTGCTCGAGGCTAGTGCTTTACCGCTTGAGTCACAATTCTGCTTTTGGCTTTTTGGACTCTCCTGCTCTAATAGCTTAGAACCACAGTCCTCAGATCTCAGCTTCCTAAGAAGCTGTGGTGACAGGTGTGAGCCTGGCACCTGGCTTAGACTTACAATTCTTCGTAAGCCCTCTGTCAGCCATCAATCATCAGGTCTGTTTCAGAGCAATTCCATGACCACTGTCCACATTTTGTCTCTGGACTGCTTTTTTTTTTTTTTGTCAGTCAGGGGCTTGAACTCAGGGACTGGTTACTGTCTCTGAGCTTTTTTGCTCAAGGCTAGAGCATCTACCACTTTGAGCCACAACTCCACCTCTGGTTTTCTGGTGGTTCATTGGAGATAAGAGTCTCATGGACTTTCCAACCTGGGCTGGCTTTGAACCATGATCCTCAAATCTCAGCCTCTTGAGTATCTGGTGCCCTAAGCCACCAGCACTTGGCTGGACTAGGTTTTTTGTTGTTGTTGTTGTTCAACAAAGTACATCGTTTCCAGCACCCTAAGTAGTACACTCCCTGTGAATAAAAGCAGCATGCTTGTTGTGTAACTGTTGCTTCCAGACAAGTTCCCTGCTCTGTTCTACAAAAACAAGTTCACTGCTCTACTCTACAAAGTGTGAACTCTCATTGCCTCTGATAAAGGAGATTGAAAGGTCTGTGCAAATACACCTGTCAGTTTACCTTTGTGTAAAGCTCACCTTGTTTGGAGACACTGAGCAGTAGTACCTGCATCCCCTCTGGATGGATTTGAACATCACTGAAAATCTTACTCTTGTTTTCCCTCTCAGGCTGCTGTACAGGACAGACTGAACGAGCAAGAGGGAGTACCCAGTGTTTTCAACCCTCCTCCATCCCGACCCCTTCAGGTTAATACAGCTGACCACAGGATCTACAGCTATGTGGTCTCAAGACCACAACCAAGGGCAAGTTGTTTTGTAGCTGGAATTTCCCACTTTTTATTTTATAAGCTTATTCACCTGGGGGGGGGGGGGGTTGTATTGATCTCTGTATGATACGATCAAGAGAGATACTCAGAATGTAAATCTGCTAGCTAGGCCTGGGTGGACCCCTTGGTAGATTTAGTGTTTATATCAGTTTCCCTTGATTTCTTAATAAATTGTTATAGAAACCTTTTCTGTTCTTTGCTAGTTATTTGGAGAGTGTTTTCTGTGCCTTGTTTTGAGTACGTGGACAGTTTCATTTCTTTACATGTCAAAATATATGATATATGTTGAATAGAGGGGCCCTCATTTCCGCCCCCCGCCCCCCTCCCAACTTTGCTGGTACTAAGGTTTAAACTTAGGGGCCTTGTTCTCTCTCTCAAGCCATGCCTCCAGTCTGGCATTTTGCTAGTTAATTGGAGATGGATTCTCAAGGACTTCTCTGCCCAAGCTGACTTCAAATCCTAGTCCTGTGGACCTCAGCTTCCTAAGGAGCTAAGATTATAGACCTGAGCTACTGAGTCCAGCTAAAGCTCCTATTTTTAATAAGAATCTGTTGACTTTGCTTCAGTTTACTTAGTTTTAGCTATTTCTCTCTCTCTTTTCTCTCTCTCTCAGTATATTACTTGCACAAGTAATATAACAAGTAGGGGGTTTCATTGTGTCATTTCCATATGCATGTACAATGTATTCCACCAAACTCTTCTGTCACTCTCCCTATTCCTATACCTCTTCTAAAACAATGTCAGTGGGTTTTGCTGTTCTCTGTTCATATATGCAAGTGAAATATCCATCCTTGCTCACATTCTCCATTCCTGTCCCACTTAGGAGGAAGCCTGTGGTGCTTTCCTGTCTTTCTTTTCTTTTCTTTTTTCTATTTATTTATTTATTTTTTGGGTCCGGTCGTGGGGCCTGAACTCTGGGCCTGGGCGCTGTCCCTCAGCTCTTCAGCTCAAGGCTAGCGCTCTACCACTTGAGCCACAGCGCCACTTCCAGCTTTTTTCTTTTTGCTTATGTGGTGCTGAGGATTAGAACCCAGGGCCTCAGGCATGCAAGGCAAGCGCTCTACCACTGAGCCACCTTCCCAGCCCTCCCTGAGCTTCTTTTGCTCAAGGCTAGCACTCTACTACTTGAGCCACTGTGCCACTTCCTGGCTTTTTTCTGTGTATGTGGTCCTGAGGAATCGAACCCAGGGCTTCACATATGCAGGGCAAGCACTCTACCATTGAGCCACATTCCCAGTCCTGAATTGTTTTCTCTTTTCCTGTCCCCTCAACCCTCTATTGATGAACGGCTTTCAGAGGTTCCTTACGCCATCTTCATACTTGAGTGCAGTTCTTATTGTAATTTACCCACTATCATTGCTTTTTTTCCTCTCCCCTTCCTCCTCCTACCCTCAACTGTGTGTGTGTGTGTGTGTGTGTGTGTGTGTGTATCAATACATACATGTCCATAGATGTATATCTGGCTTTCACAAATGAGCAAGAAGCATGCAATATTTCCCTTTTTAAATTTGGCTTTTCTTGCTTTAGCATGCTCTCCAAGCAGTTGTAGCTATTTTTGAGGAAGTACCTAGAGTCCTTTTGGGGACTTAAATGATGTTAGTCTTGAAGGCCTGATAGCAAAGAGGTGGTTTGCTTAAATTTAATATCATAGCTCATTAGTAATAATGATATTTTGCCATTGGGCATCTAGAAATGAGGAAAGAGCTAGTCTGTTTTTCCTCTTTTTTGGGGGGAAAGGTGGTGCCAGTACTGGGGCTTGAACTCAGGGCCTGGGTGCTTTCTTTAGCTTTTTTTGCTCAAGGCTGGTGCTCTTAGCCATTTGAATCATAACCACAGCTCCATATCTGGCATTTTGGTAGTTATTGGAGATAAGGGTCTCATGGACTTTTCCTGCCTATGCTGACTTTGAACTGTGATCCTTAGATCTCAGCCTCCTGAGTAGCTAGGGTTACAGATATGAACTGCCAGTGCCCTGATTTTTATTTTTTTATTAAAAAAATTTTTTTTTGTCAGTCTTGGGGCTTGAACTCTGGGCCTGTGCACTGTCCCTCAGCTCTTCAGCTCAAGGCTAATACCCTACTACTTGAGCCACAACACCACTTCTGGCTTTTTTCTGCTTATGTAGTGCTGAGGAATCGAACCCAGGACCGCATGCATACAAGGCAAGCACTCTACCACTGAGCCACCTTCCCAGCCCATCTTTTTTTTTTTAAGTTAGAGTTTCACTGGTTAGCTTAGGTAGTTCAGATTTTCAACCCTTTAGCCCTAGACTCCTTATTTTAAATTTAGTTTTTTACAGTTAAGGAAATCAGACATACACACTGATAATGAATGCAAAATATGTTGGTGTCTCCCTCCCTCCCTTCCTCCCTTCCTTCTTTCCTTCCTTCCTTTCCGTTTGTGGGACCTGACCGCTGGGCCTGCCCACTGTCCCTCAGCTCTTCAGCTCAAGGCTAGCGCTCTACCACATGAGCCACAGCACCACTTCCAGCTTTTTTCTTTTTGCTTATGTGGTGCTGAGGAATCGAACCCAGGGCCTCAGGCATGCAAGGCAGGCGCTCTACCACTGAGCCACCTTCCCAGCCCGATTTTATCTTTCTTAATCCTTGGAGTTATACTCACCTCTTATGCTTATATTTAGAATCCTAAGGGGATACTTCCTTAACTTTGGTGCAATTAGAATTTACTCCATCATCTTGCTTTTTTTGTGGAGTATTTGATATTTGAAAAATGGAGTTAAAGCTCAGGCTGGACAGTCAGTAATTTGAATCCAATGTAGTGAGATCCCTTCTCCAAATAAATAACCCAATTACATAATTAATTAAAAATGGAGTTTTAAGTACAGTAATCCACCTTTTTTTTTTTTTTTTTTAATCGGTCGTGGGGCTTGAACTCTGGGCTTGGGCGCTGTCCTTGTGCTCTTCAGCTCAAGGTGAGTGCTCTACCGCTTGAGCCACAGCACCACTTCTGGTTTTTCTAGCGGTTTATTGGAGATAAGAGTCTCACGAACTTTCCTGCCCGGGCTGGCTTTGAACCTTAGATGGCTTTGAGATCCTCAGATCTGAGCCTCCTGAGTAGCTAGGATGACAGGCGTGAGCCACCGGCACCTGGCTTCCACCTTTGTTTTTGGAGCTTATGTTCTGATAACCCCACTAATAACTTAAGCTGCCAGTGGCACCAAACCTTGTAACTGAATGCCTTTCCCTCCTAAGCAAGAGCTTGCCATGTATGTACCCTGGCTGCAGCTTTCACAGTTTGAGGTGCAGCAGGAAAACCAGCATACATTTCTTTTTTCTTCCTCATGATCTCATGAATAAAAGATTGTTCTTCTTGTAGATCTTAGCAACTTCAGCATAATTTTTTTTTCCTTAAGGTGAGAACTCTCCTTTTTTTCACTTAAAGGACTTTTCTTTGCATCTTTTAATTGCCAATATCATCATCGTTCTTATTTTCTGGGTCCATTATTAGTAGGTTACTTAAGCACAATAGGGTACTGATAATCAAAATAGCTACTGTTGCATTGTGACCACTGAGCAGGTATCTTGGAGGGAATGCTGGACATCCTGGAAAGAAAGAAGCAGGATGGTACAGATTTCATCATACTACTCAGCACAGTGTGGATTTTAAAACTCATGAATTGTTTATATTGGGAATTTTCCATTGAGTATGATCAGGCTTTTGATTGACTGTCGGTAACTGGAACTGAAGGTCAAGGAACAGAAGGGCTGCTACAATTGTTTGGGGTTTTCTGAAGTAAAAAAAAGTTACAGATTTCTGGAGCAAGTCTATGACCCAGGGAGGGCTTCTGTAGGTACCTGGTACTTGCTTTTGGGTTTGACTTAGTGTTTGAGGCCCTGATGTCAGCTTCCTGGAGCTTTCTAGAGCTCCTCGTCATGGCTACAGAGAGGTCTCAGGTTAACACAATATGACATCTAAGTGGCACTGTGGAAATCAGAGAGCCTAAGTACAAATGATTTAGTAAGTGTTAATAATGTGTGTCACTAGTAAGATTAGCTGCTATATAGTATGTTTACTGCTTTTATACAAAATTGTCCAAGGTAATATTAATGGTTACCTTTCTTGCTATTTCTATGTGTGTAGTATTTTAATGCGTAAGGCAAAAAAGAAAAGGATGCATGTTTATTATTTGGGGAGATGAACTTGCAATTGAACTTAACAATGAATAGAAGTAGCCGCAGAAAGAGTGTCAAAGGAGATTTAACACAAATGATGTGAAAGGGGGAAAAAAGATAATATTAGATGAAATGATATTGAAGGCAATAAGACCATTTAAGGTTGAAGTGTCCAGGAAGAGGGAACTGTTGATCAGAGGGAGAAATCATAGGAAAGAATGCAAAAGCCTGAATAAAAGCTGAACTAGTTACTTTGTGAAGTATTAGAGGTTGAGAAAATGGGGTCTCTAACTTTGTTTTTGGAATTTCAGGGGCTGCTTGGATGGGGTTATTACTTGATAATGCTTCCATTCCGGTTTACCTATTACACGATACTTGATATATTTAGGTATGTACCTCTGCATTTATGTATCAATAGCAAGAGTAGACTTTGGAGCTGAAACATAACCAGAATAATTTTTAGTATTCTACTAGTTTTTGCCTTGCCAATTTGTCATCATATTGAATATTCTTCCTGTACTGTCTTTTACTATAGTATGAAAAATAATTTAAATTGTTCAAGCATAGTGGCAGGTTTTATAAATGAAATGGTTTTTAAATTAATCTTGCTTATTTGCAAATATACTATCAATCCATGCCGGTCATTGTAATCTCAGCTGCTTAGGAGATGGACCTGGTGAGGATCATGGTTCAAGGTCAGCTCAAGCAAAGTGTTTGTGACATCCCATTTCGGCCAATAGCCTGGACATGGTGATGCCCACCTGTCATCCCAGCTGTGGTAGGAACATCAGTAAGAGGATCGCAGTCTGCTGGCTTAGGCAAAAAGTGAGACCCTATCTCAGAAATACAAGGGCTAGACAAGCCGGGCACCAGTGGCTAGTACCTGTAATCCTAACTATTCAGGAAGCTGAAATCTGCCGATTACAGTTTGAAACCAGCCAGGGCAGGGAAAGTCCTAACACTCTTATCCCCAGTTAATACCCCCTGCCAAAAAAAAAAAAATTCCCAAATTGGAACTGTGGCTCAAGTGGTAGAGTGCTAGCCTGAAACAAAAAGGCTCAGGGATAGCTCTTAGGCCCTGAGTTCAAGCCCCAGGACCAGTGCAAAAAACAACCACCAAAAGACCCAGGGCTAGACATGTAGCTCAAGTTGTAGGGTTCCTCCCTGCTGGTAAGCACAACTGCGTTCAGACCCCAATTCAACCACCCCCCCCAAAAAAAAAAATCAATCTGCCCACATGTAGTGGTCTCCCCACTATTCCCCCCACCATATTTATTGCCTCTCCACCCCTTAGTTCAGGGGTGGGGAATCCTCAGTGCAACTGCAGGCAGGACTGGACATCCAGCAAATCCAAGAGCTTTTCCATAGCAAGACAAACCTCAGTAGCAGCTAACATCATGCACCAATTAGCCCTTGGCAGGGAAAGGCTCCCTGGTCCTGTCCTAGGTAGTTAATCTCCACTCCCTTTTGTTTCTAACCACCCTCTTCTAACCTCATGCTTCAGGAACTGATACTCCAAAACCTCTTCTCTCTCTGACCACTCAGAATCCCAACTCAGTCTCTTGCTGTGAGGGTACCCACTCAGCTCTAGGTTTCTCCCATTGTAGTCACATGGACCCTGTTTTGCAGATTTCCTTTTGCCCTGGCAACCCGTTGATTGCTGGTGCTGGAACCCTGCTCCTCAGTGTACCATTCAAAGAACTCCTCATTGGATCTACAGGGTCCAACACTAGGAAATACTGAGTGGAACCTGACTTCCTGGCAGATCAGACTTGAGGTGTCCCATCTAGAGCTACACTTCAGCTTTTTGGGAAACTAAAATGTTTAGGGCATCTAGGCCAGCAGATAGAGCTTGACATGACATGTGATCTGTACCTTGCATACAGTGCAACTTGTATACAATCCTTCCAGATTATGGGGTGGCTTTTTGGGTCGTACAGAGAAGACCTAGCTAGGTCTTCCTGAGGAATTGCCTTGCTCCTGGTTGTTTTAGGGAACTGCCTGCTTAGTGGCTTCCTGGCTTCAGCAAAGCCACATCGCAGTGACCTGCTCCTTACTCTTTCCATCCATGTTTTATTTACTACTGGGCACATCAGAACCTTTAAAACCATAGTGAAGTCTAATTTGACATCTCTGTCTTAGATGACGCTGATCATAGGAATATACTGCAGTTAGAAACAAACGTTAAAAGTCTTTGTCTACTTCCTAAAGTTAAAGAGAAAATTCTGACATAGTTAATGTCAGAGAAGGTAGTCAAAATATTGGTCTTTTCAGGAATTGCTGATTACCTTCCCATGCATATAACTTCTTGTATTTTGTGTTAATTTGCTCTGGATGTTTGTGTCAATGAATTGGGGTTGATTATTACTCAGGAGAAATTCAAGTGTGATTGTCTATACATGGGGGATTTGTGAAGAATTGGCTCAAGATTTAGCAGAGAAAGTATACTGGTTTATTTACCCTTTCTGTGCTGAGATGTCTTCAAGTAAATGAATTCTGTTTGCTTTCCTTGGGAAGTTATGCATGGCATGTGTTACTAATTTTAATGTAGCTATATCATCAGGCAACATGTTCCGTGCTCTGTAGCACATTGGCCTCTACCCCCTCGCCCTCTGGGGAAACCCAAAGCGTAAAGAAATGAATGATGCTAGACACACAGGGTAGGGTGAGCTTGCTAGGAATCTATGTCAACTTTGGAGTAGCTGATGGTTCTCCAAACCTGCCAAGTATCTCCTCAGTCTGTTTTTAACTTCCTCCATTCATGCAGTCAGCCATCAAAAATTAATTATTTTTCAATTGTGGAATTTGAATTCAGGGCCTGGGTGCTCTCTGTCCTTAAGCTTTTTTTTTTTTTTTTTTTTTTTTTTTGGGGGGGGGGTCCAGTCGTGGGTCCTGAACTCTGGGCCTGGGCACTGTCCCTCAGCTCTTCAGCTCAAGGCTAGTGCTCTACCACTTGAGCCACAGCACCACTTCCAGCTTTTTTCTTTTTGCTTATGTGGTGCTAAGGAATGGAACCCAGGGCCTCAGGCATGCAAGGCAAGCGCTCTACCACTGAGCCAACTTCCCAGCCCCTCCTTAAGCTTTTTTGCTCAAAGCTAATTCTCTACCACTTTGAGCCACAGCACCACTTCTGGTTTTCTGGGGGTTCATTGGAGATAAGAGCCTCACAGACTTTTCTGCCCAGGCTGGCTTCAAACCGTGATCCTCAGGTCTCAGCCTCCTGAGTAGCCAGGATGACAGGCTTGAGCCACTGATGCTTGGCTAGAAAGCAAAACTTACCTGCCACTTGAATTAACAAGTAACTTGTGATTATAAATTTGTGTGTGAAGTACCCCTATTCATAATTTGAATACATTGGGAGCATGAACTGAACATTGAAAATCTCAAGAAGTCAGAAAGGGGAGTAAGAGGAACTTCCAGAAATAGATCTGTATTGTGGGGCGGCACTGGCCACTAGTGCTTCCTATGAGGTCAGACAGGTTCTGCTCCATGTTGCCCCCGTGGAAATTACTGTGGAGCACTTGCTGCAGTATGGCGAGTGACTAAGGTACCAGATGTTTAAGTTTACAAGACCAGGCACTGGGGGCTCATGCCAGAAATCCTAGCTACTCTAGAGGCTGAAATCTGAGGATCATGTTTCAAAGCCAGCCCTGGCAGGACAGTCCATGAGACTCTTACCTGTTAACCCACCAACAAGCCAGAGTGGAGCTATGGCTCAAGTGGTGGAGTGTTAGCCTTGAGCAAATAAAAAAAAAAAAGCTCAGGGACAGTGTACAGGCCCTGAGTTCAAGACCCAGTGTTTACATACACACAAAAGACATTTAATCAATTAATTTAGAAGATTCACAATTGGCTAGTGTCTGCCCATGATCTTCCATTCCCAACCCTTCTGGTCCTCAGTTTTTCTGCGGAAAGACTTGAGGATTTGTGTAGGCCAGTGTTGGAATTTATAATCCTAGTAGTTTGCGTTCTTCTCAAGCAGCCCATGGAGCTTTGTGGCTCTTAAGCCAGACTTTGCTCTCAGGCTTGATGATCCACTACACAGTCTGGCTCTTTGCGGCCGTGTCACATGGGCTTTGTTGACAGCGCCTGTATATACAAACTGGCCCGCTCCATATGCACTACAGTAAGCCGATTCATGTGATATTTATTCCTTCCTCCCCAGGTTTGCTCTTCGTTTTATACGGCCTGACCCTCGCAGCCGGGTCACTGACCCCGTTGGGGACATTGTTTCATTTATGCACTCTTTTGAAGAGAAATATGGGAGGGCACACCCTGTCTTCTACCAGGGAACGTACAGCCAGGTCAGTGCCACGAACCATATAGATGCCAACTTAACAATCTGAGTTTGTCCTCAAAGAAGAGCAGACGCTAGCCCTCATCGCTGTCATTCTTTTACTCAAAACCGTGCTTAGCTCTTCAGTGCTTACAGCAATGAACAAGAGGCCAGACTCTCCTTGCTGTACTGCCAGTCTTCCTCTAAGTTCTGTTCTGCCCACTTGGTTCCTTCACTCTTGGTTCTAGCTCCCTTCCTACCTCAGAGCCTTGGCTGGTGTGAGTCCCTCCCCCTGGAATGCCTTTCTTCCCCATTTTGCCCGGTGAGAACTTTGCCCATTCTTTAACGAGCTCACGTCCTTCATGCCCTCTTCCAGCCATTCTGATTACATGCCCTTCTTGAATTGGAAACCCCAGTGTCTTTTCCTGTTGTTCCCTCCTGGTTTTTTTTGTTTGTAGCAATTTCACTTCCCTCCTTATGCTTGTTTGTGTTCGTCTTAACTTCCTTGCTCAGGCCGCACATGTGGTGAAGACAGAGCCTAAATCTGATTTGATCCATCCCAGAACTGAATGGCACATATAGGTCATAGACTCATTCAACGTAAGCCTCAGCAGGCGAAGAACACTTACTTACAGGTCTCTGGTTCGCAAGCATATCAGATTGCCAGAGAAAAATAAGGAATTAACACTGTGAGCATAGCTGAAAGGGTGGAATCCTAGAAGCTTCAGGATTCCCAAATCTTACCTGGGCAAGGATTCGGGGGAGCTAACCCTTGCTCCTGCCCAAATCCAGTATTTCTGTCTCCTGCTAGCTGCTGCCACCCCAGTTAAGAAATATCACATAGCTCTGTGTGGCAATAAGGCATGTGCTCAATGCTGGAGACCTAGGGATGAAGAGAGGAGCATTTCTCTCTACCCTCCACCATGTCCCTGAGGGTCAGCCACCGCTGGCCATTGAGGGAACACTAATTACAAAGCGGAAAGCACAGCTGGGCACTGGTGGCTCACGCCTGTCATCCTAGCTATTTAAGGAGGCTGAGATCTGAGGATCGTGGTTCAAAGCCAGCCCGGGCAGGAAAGTCCGTGAGACTCGGATCTCCAATGAACCACCAGAAAATCGGAAGTGGTGTTGTGGCTCAAAATGCTAGAGTGCTCGCCTTGAGCTGAAGAGCTGAGGGACAGCGCCCAGGCCCAGAGTTCAAGCCCCATGACCAACAGTAAAATAAAGTGGAAGGCGCTCAGGATACTCCTGTGCACAAGCCTACACAAGAGGTTTGGACGCTAGCTTTGTCTTCAGTGGTCTAAACACTGGGCTCCTCAGCATGGCTTTGATCTCATTCCTGCTCGCTGTGGGGGATCTGCCTCATCTATGCAGTTCTTTATTTTTTAAAGTAAGAATTTGGTAGCTGTAAAGTGGCAAAATTCTCAGCTCCCTTCCCACATGGTCAGATTCTCCTGCTTTTAGCGTTCTTTCTACTGTGGGAATAGCTCACTTTTCTGTGACTTGTTGAGGAACCTGTATGTGTCAGCTTGTCTGCTTAACGTTCCTGACAGCATTTAGATCCTAACAACACTAAACCTTTTTGTTGAAGCTTATTAGCCTAGATTTTCTATAGGGGAAAAGAAAAAAGCACCCGGGTGCCAAGGTTGCAATAGCCCAGTGTCTGTACTCTTGCTCACCTTTTCATTTCTTTTTGGTCATTAATACATAGGTATATTAATGATGACTATTAGCCTAAGCTCAAGAATGGTCTTTATAATCACCAGTGACCTTGTGTCTCCCACAGGCACTCAATGATGCTAAGCGAGAGCTTCGCTTTCTCCTGGTTTATCTTCATGGAGATGACCACCAGGACTCGGATGAGTTCTGTCGGTAAGTCATGAGACATCATCTGACTTTCTCCTCATGGTTTGTAGTGACCAAGTTGTTCTTACGTTGTTTTCATCCCTTTCCACAGCAATACACTCTGTGCACCTGAAGTTATTTCACTAATAAACACTAGGATGCTCTTCTGGGCCTGTTCTACAAACAAACCTGAGGGATACAGGGGTATGTGTTTTTTTCTTTTGCCTCATTGAGATGGTCAGGATGTTTTTGGTTGTTGTTGGTTTTTGTTTTTTTTGTTTTGTTTTGTTTTTTGTCGGTCTTGGAGCTTGAACTCTGGGCCTGGGCGCTGTCCCCCAGCTCTTCAGCTCAAGGTGAGTGCTCTACTACTTGAGCCACAGCACCACCTCTGGTTTTCTGAGTGGTTTATTGGAGATAAGAATTTCACTGAGTTTCCTGCCCAGGCTGGCTTTGAACCTGATCCTCAGATCTCAGCCTCCTAAGGGGCTAAGATTACAGGCGTGAGCCACGGACACCCGGCCCGTCAGGATGTTTTTGGAAAGGTCTGGAAAGACATACCGCCACTTGCTATGTCAGTGTGCTAAACACAATGCCAGATGCTGTTTTTTACATCATTTAGTCTTGTCAGCAGGCCTTAGAAGTGAGGGTTGTGTTGCTTTTATTTATGATACAGAAAACAGACTCAAGGAGTTCAAGCCAGGATCACACAGTTCTTGGATTTTGGAACAGGATCAGGTCTGATAGACTCTGAGGCCTGTGTGTTACATACAGAGAGCCATGGCCAGAAACGGGTTTATTTTTAAAGGCAGCTTGCCTTTAGTCTTTTTTTTTTTCTTCTTCTTTTTTGTCAGTCATGGGGCTTGAACTTGGACTAGGTGCTGTCCCTGAGCTCTTCAGCTCAAGGCCAGCACTCTACCATTTTGAGCCAATGCGCCACTCCCACTTTTCTGGTGGTTAATTGGAGATAAGAGTCTTAGAAGCCGGGTGCTGGTGGCTCACGCCTGTAATCCTAGCTACTCGGGAGGCTGAGATCTGAGGATCACGGTTCAAAGCCAGCCCAGGCAGGAGAGACCGTGAGACTCCGATCTCCAATAAACCACCAGAAAACCGGAAGTGGCGCTGTGGCTCAAGTGGTAGAGCGCTCGCCTTGAGCTGAAGAGCTGAGGGACAGCGCCCAGGCCCAGAGTTCAAGCCCCACAGCCGACCAAAAAAAAAAAAAAAGTCTTAGAACTTTCTTATCCGAGCTGACTTTGAAGTGCAATCCTCAGATCTCACACTCCTGAGTAGCTAGGATTACAGGTGTGAACCAATGCCTGGTTTGCCTTCAGTCTTTTTTTTTTTTTTTTTTGCCAGTCCTGGGGCTTAAACTCAGAGCCTGGTTACTGTCCATGAGCTGCTTTTGCTCAAGACTAGCACTCTACCACTTGAGTCACAGCACCACTTCCATCCTTTTCTGTTTATGTGGCACTGAGGAATCAAACCCAGAGCTTCATGCATTCTAGGCAAGCACTCTGCCATTACGCCACATTTTCAGCCCTTGCCTTCAATCTTAATAAGCTTTTTTTCTTTGTCTGTCATGGGGCTTGAACTCAGGGCCTAGGTTCTGTCCCTGAGTACTTTTTGCACAAGGCTAGTACTCTACCACTTTGAGCCACAGAGCCACTTCTGGTATTCTGGTGGTTCATTGAAGATAGGAGCCTCATGGACTTTCCTGCCCAGGCTGACTTTGAACCATGATCCTCAGATCTCATCCTCCTGAGTTGCTAGGATCACAGGTGTGAGCCACCAGAGGGCCGGCCAATAACTAGATTCTTTATAGAGCCTTCTCTGCCATTAGGTAGAAGCATTATCTTTCGAGTTCTGCAGACTCTCCTAGCATCCTACCAGCCACACCCTACCAGGAAAGCCTGGCCTATTGGTTTAAGAACACAAACTTTATCCAAAATCTCCCCAAGAGAAAAGGAAGTAGAAAAGAAACGCACCTCCCTTTTTTCCCAAGTGGAATTAAAGTGCTTTTTTCTCCGGGAAAGTCAGGGCTGATCCGTTTCATATCTGTCTTGCCCTTGATCTCTTGGGTGTTTTTGTCAGTCTCACAGGCTTTACGAGAAAATACCTATCCATTCCTGGCCATGATCATGCTGAAGGACCGGAGGATGACGGTGGTGGGTCGGCTAGAAGGCCTCATCCAACCCGATGACCTCATTAACCAGCTGATGTTTATTATGGATGCGAACCAGACATACCTGCTCTCAGAACGCCTGGAAAGGTACGAGGAAGGACCTTTCTGAAAGGAAAAGACTACCTATATGTTTGGAAGGCCTCCACAAACCTAGGTTTTTGTTTTTATTTTTGTCTTGGACAACTTTAAGTGCCTTGCCCATTTGGTGTCAGGACAATTGCATACTTAAGTTAGTCTGCATTAGATCATCCATTCTTAGAAATGCAAATCAATAAAAACAGGGCTCCTTGTCTAAGAATGAGTATTCTGTCATTTAAGATAGCTGACCATCATAGAAAGAACTTAAATATAAAAAATGTGCAACGTGCCAGGCACCGGTGGCTCAAACCTGTAATCCTAGCTACTCAGGACGCTGAGATCTGAGGATTGCGGGTCAGAGCCAGCCCGGGCAGGAAAGTCCATGAGACTCTTATCTCCAGTAAACCACCAGAAAACCAGAAGTGGCGCTGTGGCTCAAGTGGTAATGCACTCGCCTTGAGCTGAAGAGCAGAGGGACAGCGCCCAGGCCCAGAGTTCAAGCCCAGGACTAACAAAAAAAAAAAAGTTCAATGGTAATAATGGCATCCTCCTGCCCCCATTACATGAATTGTGTACATTAATCTTAGAAAAGCTGAAAGGCACAGAAGGGGAGCTGAGTGTGGTGGGGAACACCAGAATCCCAGTACTAAGGAAGCTAAGGCCAGAGGATTATGAGTTTTAAGGCCGGTCTGGGTACCAGATGTAGGAGGTTTTATCCCACCAGAGCAGGCCGGCAGTCAGTTGTGCAGCAGTGGGCACAGCTCATGGAAAGTGAGGGCCGATCTGTTTCATCTCCAGTCTGTCATTGTCTACCTGGAGGTAGTTCAGATCCTACAGGTTGAGTGCTTGGTCCCCAAGACTGTCACCTATTCTCTGTGGATGCCAGTCACCCATTGTCTTGCCTGAGTTTCTACATTGTAAATGAGGATTTCCCACATCCTCCATCTTTAATACTTGGTTTACTTGGCTCAAAGAACTCAGCAATACACTTGCAGTTTATTTTAAAGGGCATCACACTGCTAAGAGCCAGTGGCTCATATCTGTAACCTAGCTATTCAGGAGGTTTAGATATGAGGATTGTGGTTTCAGGCCTACCTAGGAAGACAAATCTGAGAAACCGATCTCTATATAACCAGCAAAAAGCTGGGAGCAGAGCTGTGGTTCAAGTGGTATAGCGCCAGCCTTGAGCAGAAAAGCTAAGGGACAGTGAGTGTGTGCCCAGGACCTGAGTTCAAGCCCCAATACTGGCATAATTTTTTTTTTTTTTTTTGGTCAGTCGTGGGGCCTGAACTCTGGGCCTGGGCGCTGTCCCTCAGCTCTTCAGCTGAAGGCTAGCGCTCTACCACTTGAGTGTCTGCCCCACTTCCGGCTTTTTCTGCTTATGTGTTGCTGAGGAATTGAACCCAGGGCCTCATGCATGCAAGTCAAGCACGCTACCACTGAGCCACCTTCCCAGCCCCCAATTTTTTTTTTTAAAGCAATTCATTATATGAACTGGAGGCATGGCTTAAGTGGTAGAGTGTTAGCTGGGAGCAGGCAAGCTGGGAAAGAGTACAGTCCTGAATTCAAGTCCTAAAACCAGTCCAAAAATTTTTTTTCTTTTAAAAGAAAGAAAACTGCAAAGGCAAAAGCTATGAATATAAATAGGATTTTTTTTTTTTTTTTTTTTTTTTTTGAGTCGGGGCTTGAACTCGGGGCCTAGGCATCATCCATGTGCTCTTCAGCTCAAGGCCAGTGCTCTACCACTTGAGCCACGGCACCATTTCCAGTTTTCTGGTGGTTAATTGGAGACGAAAATCTCACAGGTTTTCTTACCCAGGCTGGCTTTGAAGCACGATCCTCAGATCTCAGCCTCCTGAGTAGCTGGGATGACAGGTGTGAGCCACCCGCGCCTGACTACAATAGGATTTTAACCATGTGAGAAGTAGAACAGGGGTGTCCAGGGCTCACCCTGCATGCACAGGGCTCTGCCATGCTCCTCAGCAGCACAAAAAGAAAAGTGCATACTTGAGGAACTTTCTGGAGTGAGAGAAATGTTCTCTCTTGATTGGAGAGGGGCGATTTCCAGGGTCACATTTATTAAAATTCATTGAATAGTGTATTTAAGATCTGTGCCTTGCAGACATTTTGAAGAAATGTTTATCTGGGGGCTGGGAAGGTGGCTCAGTGGTAGAGCGCTTGCCTTGCACGCATGAGGCCCTGGGTTCCATTCCCCAGCACCACATAAGCAAAAAGAAAAAAAGCCGGAAGTGGTGCTGTGGCTCAAGTGGTAGAGCGCCAGCCTTGAGCTGAAGAGCTGAGGGACAGCGCCCAGGCCCAGAGTTCAGACCCCACGACGGGACCAAAAAAAAAAAGAAATATTTATCTGTTCAGTCTTCGGATGGTCCATGCAAAGAGAACATAAAACTTGGGCTGGAGCTGTGGCTTGATGTTATAGTGCCTGCTGGGTAAGCTCAAGACTCTGGATCTCAAAGAGTAAGAGAGAGAACATAAGATTTCACTGGAGAAAAAAACACGTTATACATCAACATTTTATGGTACCTTAGCTTTATCTATTATTTTGTTTTTGTTGTTGTTGTATTGGTCTTGGGGCTTGAACTCAGGGCCTGGGCGCTGTCCCTGAACTGCTTCTGCTCAAGGCAAGTGCTCTGCCACTTTGAGGCACAGCACCACTTCTGGTTTTCAGGTGGTTCATTGGAGATAAGAGTCTCACAGACCTTCTTGCCTGGGCCGGCTTTGAACCGTGATCCTCAGATCTCAGCCTCCTGTGTAGCTAGGATGACAGGCGTGAGCCACCAGCACCTGGCCACTTTCAGCTATTTTGGTGATTACTTGGAAATAACAGTCTCATGGATTTTCCTGCCGAGGCTGGCTTGGAACCCAAATCCTCAAATCTCAGCCTCCTCAGTAGCTAGCGGATTCTAAGTGTGAGCCGGGCGCCAGTGACTTACGCCTGTCATCCTAGCTACTTAGGAGGTTGAGATCGGAGGATTGAGGTTCAAAGCCAGCTCAGGCAAGAAAGTCCGTGAGACTCTTACCTCCAGTTAACCATCAGAAAACCAGAAGTGGCGTTGTGGTAGAACGCTAGCCTTAAGCTGAAGAGCTGAGGGACAGTGCCCAGGCCCAGAGTGCAAGCCTCAGGATGCTGGGCTCCCCGTGTTCGTTTTGATGCTTTTGATCTGCCCTCAGGGAAGAAAGGAACCAGACCCAGGTGCTGAGGCAGCAGCAGGACGAGGCCTACCTGGCCTCTCTCAGGGCTGACCAGGAGAAAGAAAGGAAGAAGCGAGAGGAGCGGGAGCGGAAGAGGCGGAAGGAGGAGGAGGTGCAGCAGCAGAAGCTGGCGGAGGAGAGGCGGCGGCAGGTGATGGGTGGGGCCTTGTGCCCCGTGAGTCATGACTCCTGACCTGGAGCCTGCGGGGGGGTCAGCCTGTGTGGGAAGGGACTGTGGGCAGCTTCTGCTTTTCCTGCCTTGTGCATTCTTAGTATTAGCTGATACCGAGCTGGCATGGTCTTCCCTTTGTCATCTTGTTTTGCGGTGTATTATCTCTCACAGCTAGATAGCTGCTCTCTTCAGGCAGTCAAATACCTAAATAATACAGCCACCCAACAGCACAGGCGCTGGACTTGATGGGCTAGTGACAGTGGTTCCTCACAGCCCTCTCCCCCCATTGGAGCCCTGGCCTCATCTTTGTGTTGTGTCTCCACAGAATCTACAGGAGGAAAAGGAAAGGAAGTTGGAGTGCCTGCCTCCTGAGCCCTCCCCTGACGACCCTGAAAGCGTCAAGATCATCTTCAAATTACCCAATGATTCTCGAGTAGAGAGACGATTCCACTTTTCACAGTCTCTAACAGTAAGGATCGCATGGGGTGCACGTGCTTGTGGTAGCGTCTGGGCTAGAGGTGTGGCAGCTTCAGACTCCACAGTGTTGAACAGGAGGCATCCCAGAGAGATGGGGTCAGATGTCGGGGGACGCCAGGAAGCATGCCATGAGCTGCCACAGGTTCCTTCAGGCCGGGCTGTCACATCAAAGCCAGTTTTTGTTTCTTTTGTTTTGTGCCCCGACTGGGGCTTGAACTCAGGGCCTGGGTACTGTCCCTTAGCTATTTTGCTCTACCACTTGACCAACAGTCCACTTTTTGATGGTTAGTTGGAGATATGAGCCTGCCCCGGCTGGCTTTGAACTAGAATCCTCAGATCTCAGCCTCCTGAGTAGCTAGGATGACAGGTGTGAGCCACCGGCGCCTGGTGTTTTCAGTTTTCTTCTATCATAATGTTTGAATCCTGCTAAGAAAGCACATACCTTACAAAGAAGGTCCCCAAGAGCCCCTTGATCTGCAGAGAGAGCACAAAGTGACGTCGAACAGAAGAGCAGGTGCGGTGGGGCTGTTGATCTCTCCTCTGCCCATGTTGCACAGAAGAAACCCCACTTCCTGAGGGTCCCTCGTGCATTTGAACGCACACAACAGTGCTTGTCATTCACATAGCAATAGACTCAGACTCTTACAGAAAGAAGACCAGTTTCTCATTCGTTCAGCCTGGATGGAGATCTTCCTGTTTTATGCATCTCCATATTGCTGGAATTTCAGGTACATATTACCATATAGCTGAGATTACACAAGTCAGCTGCCATTACTGGCTTATTTGCTGAGACAGGGAATCTCACTTTTAGCCTTGGGCTGGCCTTGAACCAAGAGCTCCCTCATTTCTCTGCCTCCTGAGTAGCCGGTATTACAGGCATGAGTCATTGTACCCAGCTCTGATACAGCTTTATAAATTTCTTATTTATTGTTTATTTCTGTCAGTCCTGGGACTTGAACTCTGGGCCTGGGTGCTGTCCCTCAGCTCTTCAGCTCAAGGCTAGTGCTCTGCTATTTGAGCCACAGCGCCACTTCTGGCTTTTTCTATATATGTGGTACTGAGGAATCGATCCTAGGGCTTCATGTATGCTAGGCAAGCACTCTACCACTGAGCCACCTTCCCAGCCCCAGTTCAGTCTGCTTTTTGTTTTTTTTTTAACCATGCCATTTTACCCCCTCAAGAGCTGATCTCATCTGCAACTTCCTCCCTTGTCGAGGTGATGCTTAAAAGACTGAGCTCATGGGAAGATGGCACAGGCTAGAGTATGCAAATGCTAAAATCCACTTTGTCATTTTTTTCCTGGGTTGTTCAAGACCAGGCCAGCACTGTGCTTGTTTTTTTTTTTTTTTTTAAGGTCATGGGGCTTGAACTCTAGGCCTCCGTGCTCCCCCTGATCTTCCCCCCTCCCCACCCCAGGCTAGGGCTCTACCACTTTGAGCCACAGTACCTCTTCTAGTTTAGGGGTGGTTTATTGGTGATAAGAATCTCATGGCCTTTCCTGCTCAGGCTGACTTTGAACTGCAGAACTCAGCCTCCTGAGTAGCAGCCAGGATGATTTCCTGTCTCAGCCTCAGACAGTCATCATAGGGATTTTGTTTGGTTTTAAAGAATTCATGGTTATAACCCTAGCTACTTAGCATTAGCTAGTTTATTGTCAGCTAGCCAGGCAAAAGGAGAAGGTAGATGTGTGCCTCACATGGTAGAGCATCTGCCCTGAGCAAAAAAAACAGAGAGAGAGTGAAAGGCCCTGTGAATTCAAGCCCCAGTACACCCCGCAAAAAAACAAAAAAACAAAAACCACACAAACGACAACTGGCCCATTTTGAATGGAGTGGAAATCACAAAAGCCTGCAGCCCTCCGTATCATGAGCTCACATCCACAGATCAGAAGTACGGGGAAAACATTAGCATCAGGATTTCTCATTATTCCCTAAATACTGCAGTGCAGGTGTTAAGTATGAGACAAAATGGAAACCTGGTTTAAAGGATGCAGGTGTGTGCTCTGCCACTTGAGACGAGGGACTTGCACATCTATGGATCTGTGGATCTCCAGAGGTGTTTCAGGAACCAACCGCATGGATGCTGTGGGAATGACTGTGTTTATTGTATTGTGGAAGTAGTGCTTACATCTGCTGACTTCAGTGTTAAGTAGAAAGCAGCCCTGGTTGTTCGTCACACCCATGAGTGTTTAGGAGGTGTGGAACTCAGAATGGCTGCTTACCTACATCTGGCCTAAGAAAAAGCTTCAATGCCCTGCACTTCCAGCCCTTCTGGAAGTTTGTGATTATTTCTTTTTGTTGTTTATGGTGTTGGTCGTGAGGCTTGAACTCTGGGCCTGGGCGCTAGCCTCAGCTCTTCAGCTCAAGGTGAGCGCTCTACCACTTGAGCCACAGCACCACTTCTGGTTTCCTAGTGGTTCATTGGAGATAAGAGTGCCATGGACTTTCCTGCCCTTGGCTGGCTTTGAACTGCGGTCCTCAGATCTCAGCCTCCCGAGTAGCTAGGATTGCAGGCGTGAGCCACTGGCACCCGACCTTTGTGATTATTTCTGTGTGAAAACATTTATCCAGGTGCTAGGAGCTCACCTGTCATCCTAGCTACTATTCATGAGGCTGAGATCTGAGGATTGTGATTTGAAGCCAGCCTGGGCAGGAAAGTCTGTGAGACTCTTATTGCCAATTAACCAGCAAAAAGCCAGAAGTAGAGCTGTGGCTCAAGTGGTAGAGCGCTAGCTAGCCTTGAGCGCAAGAGTTCAGGGACGGTGCCCAGTTCAACTACCAAGACTGATTACCCCCCACCCCCCAAAAAAAGCACATTATCAGAGAGTTGGTGTGGCGGCGGGCTTGTGATTCCTTTAAGCATTGCAGTAGTGTTCGCCTCTTCTCCACGTCAGCCGTCCTGGGGGGCCTGGGGTGCACAGTCCATCTCACTGCCGTTCTCTTTTCTCCATGCGACCTCTGCAGGTGATCCACGACTTCTTATTCTCCTTGAAGGAAAGCCCAGAGAAGTTTCAAATTGAAGCCAACTTTCCCAGGCGGGTACTGCCGTGCGTCCCTTCAGAGGAGCTGCCCAACCCGCCCACGCTGCAGGAGGCGGGACTCAGCCACACAGAAGTTCTCTTTGTTCAGGACCTAACAGACGAATGACATTTGTCATCCTCCCCCCACCCCCCGCCCCGCCCCCTAAAGGAAATGGAAAGAGAGAGAGAGAGAGAAATTCCTATTATTATTATAATACAATATTTTTTTTAAAAGACTGCCGCATCCTAAGGAAGGATGAGAAACCATGCCACCTGCGAGTCATCGTGTGCGTGTGTGCGTGTGTGTGCGCGCGTGTGCGCGTGTGTGTATGTGTGTGGTTAGCCATGAACGCACCCTCGCTCGGCAAAGCTCGCTTCACCCTTCCAACGGCCTCTGCACCACGCAGCCTCCAGCCAGCGGACGCCTGTCCAGCCACCGGTGTCCCACTGGGGAAGGGGACATTCCCACTTGTTCTCATTCATTCTTGCTTTTATGGAGAATAAACGTGAAAGCGTCCAGCCAGCAGCTCCAGCCCCATCTCCTGAAGACTACTTCCTTCTCCCGAGAAGCCTCGGGAGGAGCGGGGGAGAGCAGAGAGACGTTCCTTGAACTGGTTTCTGGATCACTTTTCCTTGTTTCTGTTGCTTTCTGATGACCAAAGGAATGAGGCTGTCATGGATGTATTTTTTTTCTTCTTCTTCTTCTTCTTTATTTGATAAAGAGCCAATTCTTAAAAGCCGTGAGTTCGTGCCCTGGGCTCCTTAGCCCACAGTAGCGTAATAAAGGTGCCTGGGCTGCTTTGTGCTTCTTTCGGCCATTGTCCCTCTCCTGGCCCCCTCAACTGAGGGCGTTGGTTTTGGTCCAACCTGCTGTCCTTTCTTCCCACCTGTGCACCCCACTAAAACCTGAAGGGGTCTGAAGCAAAGGATGGCAGTTCTTCATTCCTCTTTCAGCTGCTTCAGCTTTCCCGAATTGCCAAGCCTAGTGCCTTTCCATAGACAGGGCCGGTGGTGGAGCCTCTGTGGGAGGCCCTAGTGTTTTAAGGCATAGAGGGAACTCCCAGGCCCCGGGCAGTACGTGCAGTCTAGGCACACACCTGCTGGAGGTTCTATCTTCCTCCCTGGGCCGCTGTGTTCAAGTAGCAGCTGTGTGCCGCTGCTGGCTGATGCTGTTGAGTTCATGTAAGCGGGAACATAGCCACCGTGCACTGATACGGATTTCCAAGTGTTGGTGGCCGATCTGCAAGGCTCAGAACTATAGCACGCTGTACAAGCAGGAAGGTCAGGTCAGGGTAAAGCGTGACTTATCTATCATCCTCCAAAGCTCCTTGGCTTGGTGCAAACCTAAGGACCTCTCTGCGAAGTAGTAATATTAGGCATAAGGCTTTGTGCAGCCCTCTGTTGGAGTAAGGGCCACGGGGTCGAGGGGAGGCCTGTGGATTTTCCAGTGCCCTTGAACACCAGATCTGCTGTTATCCCAGCAAGCTTCGGAGAGGCGAACCTTGTTCTCCACTCAACCCAGGCAAAATTGGCTTCACCAACAAGCTACAAGGAGTGTTTTATCCCTCCTGGGGCCTCCCTTCCTGTCCCAAGTCCCAGCTCTACCCCGGAGGGAGCTGGGGGCCTGCTCTAGGCAGGGTGTACTAGTGTCCCACACCCAGGAAATGGTAGGGATTTCTTCTCTAATAGCACGGTCTCTTTTAGTAACATGCCCTTCTAGTTAATGCCTCTTCCAGTAACTAACCGTCGGACAGAGGATGTGAGATGCCACAAGGTTAAGACCAGGTCCCTCAGGAAAGGTAACTCCTGAGCCCCCTGCCCATTTCCTGGAGGGACCTCTCTGGTCCCTTTGAAACAGTTCTTTCTGCTTTCCTTCAACTCCATCCATGCCTGCCTCCTCGCTTAGTGCCGCCTCCAGGGTGCCAGTCACCCCTCACAGGTGACACGGGGCTGCATGCGTGTCACCATGCGAGGCCCATCTGTGGCTCCTAAGGACCTCCAAGAGCTGCAAGGGAGAAACAGAAGCCACATCTGCCAGGCTGTGCTGCTGTCTGCAAGTCACAGCTGGAACCGTCCAGCTGTGCATTCCAAAAGGCACAGTGAATGGAGCCATTTCAACTGCAGCGCTGTGGAAAACCACCATGCTGACACCCAAGATGGAGGTCAGCTGAACAACTGTGCGCTCTTCCTCAGCACGGCCCTTCTGGTCTTTTCCTCCTCCTACATCTGTAGGACTTCCTGCAACAAGTATTTCTCCTCACTTGCCTCTACCGTGAGATTGGGGACAGATGGCAGAGGAGAATGAATTATCTGCTTCTCAAAAAGTAACTAAGAACCTAGGATCTTTTAACTGAGCAGTTATGATGACCCTTACTCATGGTGCCAAGGCTGAGGGGGAAAAGAGTCTCGGAAGATGAGCAGTTGGATGCAGATCATTTGCCTGGTGCTTGAACAAAAAGCTCCATTTATACCTGCTTTCGTACGATGGAGGAGGGGCGCATCGGGAAGTTCACGCACCGCAGAAGCGCTGCCTCCGCTCTTACTGCACCCCAATAGTTACAGGATGATCACTTCTGGGTGTGGGGAAACAAACCTAGTGTAAATTCTTTTTTTCATAAAGGTTTACATTGTATTGTAGGTGAACATTAAATGTTTTATAACGAACAAAACCACCACCATGTGGGTGTTTCTGTCTAGAACGGGGACTGCGGGAAGGAGTCCAGGCAGATGTGTTCCGGGGTCCCTGGTAAGACATGGTTGCTTGGAAAGAGCAGTTCAGGAAGGAGCAGAGTTCACGCAGAACCCACACCAGCTGTCACGTGTCACCATAGGTGAGTTCTTGCATGCCTATGAGGCTAATGCTGTCTGCCCCAGGATCTACTTGGGACACTTAAAAGTACCAATGTCTGTTCCCTCCACCCCCCCCCAGGAATGGAAAGAGTTTGTCATCTGGTGATCGAATTTAACATGTTCGGGGCTTCTGCAACTCCCTGCCCCGACCTCCCCCTAAACTACCCATTTCTGGCGTGGTAGGCAGTGCTGGCTCAAACCTGTCACCCTAGCTTACTCAGGAGGCTGAGATCTGAGGATCATGGCTCCAGACCAGCCTTAGCAAGAAAGCCCATGACACTTTAGCATCTCTAATTAACCACCAAAAAGCCCGAAGTGGAGCTGTGGCTCAAACAGCAGGGCACCAGCCTTGAGCCAGAAAGCTAAACCCTGGCACTGGGTTCAAGCACCAGTACTGGCACCCCCCAAAAATATATACATAGCTATTGGATTCTTTGGGGAAAATGATTTTCTCTGGGGATGATGGCATTTTAGACCTCATTAGAACAGACCCAAGTCCCAGCTGCTAAAATAACCTACCTGTATGTATGCTGGGAATCGAACCCAGGACCTGGCACCAGAGGAAAGCGCTCTACCTCTGAACCAGAGCCCAACCCTCAGAACCCCACGAGCCACGACCATTATTTCTCCCAAATTAGAGGAATCCTTTAATGTGCCAACAGTCTAGCTGAAGTGGCACAAGATACAAGACCTGACACCGCCCCCCCTCCTCTAAGGAACCATGGGACTTTGCCAAGAAACCAAACCCCCAACAGTTCCATAGCAGAGAAACATTATTCTTGTCCCTCACACCTCCCTGTCTGAGCCCCAAGTTCCACTCAAAGAAAGGCTCAACCAAAAGCAGCTTGGACCGCACTTGGTATACATCATACATTTATTAGTGAATATTCCCTCTGAAATCAGCAACAATATTAAAAAAAATAATGATTGCACTACTTGGTCAAGCAGAACTAGCAACTTTCATTTTAAAAAAAGTACAAATCTGTTAAAAATTTCAATCAGTATACACATATATATAATACAACAGACTAGTTAGTTAAATGCTACAAACCAATGTGAACCGCTGAAATGGAGGAAAAAAACCACACATTGAAGCTTTAAGAACCATTTTTTTTCTCTATATATTAGCATTTTTTTCTCAAATACATACATGGGGAAAAATGAGGTAACTGTAAAATGTGCAAGGAACAGGGCCCCCCGAAATTACATATATTCAATCTATATGTAATTATATATATAGAAAACCTTTCTAACACGGAACCCAGGCGCTGGGGCCCAGCCAGGGCTGGGGAGAGAGCGTGTCCCCGCCCGGCCATGCCTCGGCCAGAGGTTGATAAATCGTAAACAATGACAAGCCCCCCACCACGGGAAATCATTGGTCACATGGCATCTAGTATATAGCAAGGTCGCAAATCACAAACATCCTAAATAATTGCTTCATAAATCATTTTTTTTTTGTTGCTTTTTTTTTTAATGATTTTGTTGTTGTTAAATGCTGTGTTTCCCCAACCCCTCCCCGCTAGCTGCTAGTTGAAATCCCATGTCTGCAAGCGGATATACAGTCCATGAGCCATTTTCCACCTGCCCGCCCTCCCCCACCCCACCCCAAACCCCCTTGCCCCCCCCCCAGGAAGCATTAAGGATTTGAAAACCTTGTTGTTGTTGTTGGGGTGGAGGGGGGAAGGGGGGGAATGGGGGGGATCAAAGAAGATGGGTCTCTGTGTAAAACACGTGGGTTTTCAACACTGCTATAAATATAGAAACGTCACCTGGAGTTATATACAGTAAGACTTTGGGTTCTCCGTGGGATAGGCCCAGACTGCCGGGCCCTGTGGCAGGCAGGGGTGCTGGGGGGAGGGGGAGGGGGCAGGGGTGCTGCGGGCAGAACGAGGGTGCTTGGAGCAACCCTGAGGCAGCAGGAGCCCAGGGGCTGCCTGCTAGGATGTGCCAGCCCCACACGCGGTTCGTTCATCAGGGCAGCAACCCCGGGGGGGGGGGAGGGGGGGAGGAATGGGGGGGGGGAGCTCAGCCAGACCCTACAGGGGGCACCTCCTCCGGAGGAGAGCAGAGAAAGTAGGCTGGAAGTCCAGGCTTTCCCTGGTCCCTGTCTCCTGGGATTCCTTGGGGGGGGGGGGGGGGGAAGGGGACGAAGTTGGGGGGTGGGGGAGACTCACCCAGGCAGGTGGAAGATTGGGCCTGGCTGGGGGGGGGAGAGGGGAGGGAGAAATGCCCTGAAAAGCGTAGGGTCCCGATAGGCTCTAGGGACGTGTGCAGTACAGTGCGTGGCAGTTATCAGCTGAGCACAGCTCCCCAGCCCCCCCAGCCCTCCCCTCCCACCCCCACCCCAGTGCAGCCCCGCCCCCCCACCTGCACACAAGCACGCAGGCCAGGCAGCACCACCCCACTGGGGCTCTGTCCCAAGCAACCCCCCTTCTCTGGGCACCCCCAGTCCTGGTTGGTCCCTGTATCTCACTAAACTTAAAAAAAAAAATCAAATGAATTCCACCCCCCAAAAGAAGGCTTAAATATCCACACCTCCAAACTCTACACGCAAGTTTTGGGGCTATAAGAAGAAAAGAAAGAAAGAAAAAAAAAAAAGAGTAGAAACAGCCAAAAAAAAACCCCACAAAAAAAAAATCTCCCAAGAGGGGGATCATCAGGCCAGGGCCAAACCCTGTGTGTCACCTTGGAGAAGCCGTGTCACCAGGAACACAGCCCTTGGCGGCTGTGGCTGGGGGGGTGGGGGGCTGTGCCCCAGCACAGATCCGCCTAAGGAACTAGACCACCACAGCCAAGCTGTCTGGGGGTGCAGCCAGGCAGGGACTCAGGGAGTGGCCGGTGGCCATCATCTGTCCTACACACCTGGCAAGGCCCCCTGGGTGGTGGGCACAGCGTTTCAGTGTAGTGACCCAGGATGGTGACCCCTTTGCCCATGGCTTGGGGGAGAGGGGGACGCGCCAAGGATTCCCACCGGGCACACTGGAGGGGGTGGCGGGGGGGGGAGACCTGCAGGTTCTCCAGTGCCAGCAGGGAGGAGGCCTCTCAGGGGTCATCAGGAGGAAGGCTGGGGTGAGGGGGTAACACCCAGACAGCTCCATGGTGGGCGGGCGGGCGGGCAGACAGGCAGGCAGGGGGGAAGGAGTCTTTGGAGCTTGGCAAATGCAGGGGCTTATTGCAGGGGTTTCTCGCAGGGCTGGCCCTGGAGTTGTAGGTGGAACGGAGGCAGGCCTGGGCCCCTCCCTCCCCGGCTGTCCTCCCCGGATGTTTCCAGAGCTTCGGGCAGGGTTCTCGTGGCGCCTCACTCAGCCTCTCTGGGTACCTCAGAGGCATCGGCCCGGCAGATGGGACACGTCCGGTTGGCCTGGGGTGGGGTGGGGTGGGGAGTCAGGCAGGTTTTGATCCCACGGCCTGTATCCCACCGATTTTGATTTGGGTTGGCTGGGTGTGTGTGTTTGTGTGTGTGACAGACCTCAGGGCCTAGGGACCATCCCTGAGCTTCTTCAGTCAAGACTGGTGCTCTACCACTTGAGCCACAGCTCCACTTGGGGCTTTTTGGTGGTTCAGTGGAGAGAAGAGTCTCCTGGACTTTCCTGCCCAGGCTGGCTTCGAACTGTGATCCTCAGATCTCAGCCTCCTGAGGAGCGAGGATTACCAAGGCAGGCAACTCACTTTTCGGGCTTTTTGCTGGTTAACTGGCGATGAGAGCCTTACAGACTCTGACTTTGAACCGCCATCCTAAGACCTCAGCCTCCTGAGTAGCTGGGATGACAGGCGTGAGCCACCGGCTCCGGCCATCTTACCTTCAACCATTTGTCCACACACTTGGCGTGAAACTCGTGGTTACAGGGGAGGACTCGCAGCAGCTGCCGCACCTCGAAGTCGCTGAAGCAGACCACGCATCTGGAAGGGTACAAAACGGCACCCCCATGCTGAGAACTCACCACAGAGGACCCCAACCCCCATCCCGCCATCCTCCCAGAGATCTCTGCAGCCCAGCCAATCAGGGAGCAGGACTTACAGCGTCTGCTCTGACTGGTGGCTGTCGGGGTTGAAGCGGTACGACGGGAGTTGTTCTATGTCGGCTTTGGTGAGACCCCGGGGCTTGGCATCTCCCAGCCGCTCGGCCAGGTTCAGGAGGGCCTGGACGGGACAGGACAGGGGGAGGGGGGAGGGATCAGTGAACCCAGGGGGTGCTGGGACGCCCAACATCCTCAACCCTGGCCCCACTTCCTTGCCAGCACGGACCTCGTAGTTCTCCATCTCCATATCATCCACTTCTAGGTCCAGGCTGATGGTGGGTCCCATAGCTGTGGGTGACATGGGCAGCATCGAGCTAGAGGACAGGTCAAAGGGCTCAGTGTCAACGTCACTAGGGACTGGAGGGCACAGGATGCTTCCCTCTGTTCCACTGCCCTGGGAATCTTATCTTGGGACATGGCGGGGGGGAAGAGGGATGGAAAAGGGAGAATCGATAACCCAACTAATCCGCATGTGTTGCACCTGGTGGGGTGGGGGTGGGGGTGCTCCAGGGACAACCAGGGTTCTAGGATCACCGTGTGGGTACTTACAGGAAGTAGGGCAGGAAGCTGGGGTAATAAGGTGGTGGAGGCGGCGGCGGCGGCGGTGGAGGTGGTGGTGGCAGCGGCTGTTGAAGGCGGTACCTCTGGGTGCTCAGTCTCCGTGGCATCATGTGAGAATAGGGCTGGAAGAAGGGGCCAGTGGAGGTCAGGGGGGCAGGCCGCCCTCCGGTTCTAAATAGGCTCTCCAAGAACCATTAAGAGTCACAACCGTAAGATACATAGCGGAATTGTCTCAGCGAGGCACAATGTACTTTTCACAGCAAGCAAGCAGGCTGCTCCCTTTTTATCCCTAACCCAGAAGGCCACGCCCCTGCTCTGCTCAGATTGGTTGAGCTCAGATTCACCATCTGCTTGTGATTGGCTATTTTTTTTTTCTTTTGTCTTTTGTGTGGCCTGAACTCTGGGCCTGGGCGCTGTCCCTCAGCTCTTCAGCTCAAGGCGAGCGCCCTACCATTTGAGCCACAGCACCACTTCCAGCTTTTTCTGCTTATGAAGTGCTCAGGATTCGAACCTAGGGCCTCATGCAAGCGAGGCAAGCACTCTACCACTGAGCCACCTCCCCAGCCTGGTGACTGGCTAATTTGAATAAGAGAAATTTATTTCTGTCAGATGATTTCTGAAGTAAGATGAACAGTATACAAAGTAATCTCAAAATAAACCCACAATCCTCTGCTAGTTCTTTTTTTTTTTGGCCAGTCCTGGGGCTTGAATTCAGGCGCTATCCCTGAGCTTCTTTTGCTCAAGGCTAGCACTCTACCACTTGAGCCACAGCGCCACTTCTGGCTTTTTCTGTGTATGTGATACTGAGGAATCGAACCTAGGGCTTCATGGATGCTAGGCAAGCACTCTACCACTGAGCCACCTTTCCAGCCCCTCAGATAGTTCCTGAATAATCTGAGGTGTCTTAATTCCATCTTGGAAAGAAACCACTTTAAGATAAAATCTAACATTTCAAAAATCCTTTCCTGTCCCAAAGCAGAAGCATCTTCTCCTTAACAAGAGCCAAGCCACCAGGCCAAAGCAGGAACTCCCCCCCTCACACATACCCCCCCCCCCCCCCCATCAATCATGGGGCTTGAATTCTGGGCCTGGGCGCTGTCCCTCAGCTCTTCAGCTCAAGGCTAGCGCTCTACCACTTGAGCCACAGCGCCATTTCCTGTTTTCTGGTGGTTTATTGGAGATAAGAGTCTCCCAGCCTTTCCTGCCCGGGCTGGCTTTGAACTGCAATCCTCAGATCTCAGCCTCCTGAGTAGCTAGGATTACAGGCGTGACCGCCTGGCTGAGCCCAGGAGGGGGGACAGATGAGGGGCACTCACCACCCCAAAGGACAGCTCCTGGTGCAGCGGATCGTGGGGCAGGTAGTTCAGGGGCACTGAAGGGGACAAGGCTGGACCGGGGGCGGAGGTGGGGTAGGTAAAGCTGCCCAGGGGGTGCTGGTCCCCACGCAGGTCCACGTCATTGTCCAGCCGCTGCAGAGGCTACAGGAGGCAGAGGTGGGTTTGGTCATGGGTCTGTGACAGGGAAGACCCCCCCCCCTTCCTCCTCTAGCATCAGATCCGTTCCCCAGACTCACCATCCGCGGGTGCTGGGTCTGCAGTGATACAAACTGCCCAAGAGGTGCCATGTGGGTGGGCTGGGGCGGTGGGGCGGGCGGTGGGGGGTGCAGAATGTAGGGGTCACCGGAGATGAGGTGGGGGTAGGCCTGGTAGGACACAGGGAGCTGTTGCATAGTGCATGCCTGGATCAGCTGCTGAGAGAAGGGGAAAAAGGGCGGCTGGGAGAGAGCCAGAGAATGGTTTTCTGGGCTCTGGGCTGGGCCTCTTGCTTTCTTTTTTTGCCAGTCCTGGGGCTTGAACTCAGGGCCTGGGGCACTGTCTCTGAGCTGCTTTTGCTCAAGGCGAGTGCTCTACCACTTGAGCCACAGCGCCACTTCTGGTTTTCTGGTGGTTCATTGGAGATCAGAGTCTCACGGACTTTCCTGCCCGGGCTGGCTTTGAACCGCGATCCTCCGATCTCAACCTCCTGAGTAGCTAGGATGGCAGGTGTGAGCCGCTGGGCCCTGCACAGGCTTTTTCAACCGTGGTCAAAGGGACACTGGGGCCTGCCCGCTGCCTAGCGACGAGGGACGGCGGGGCCACGTCTGTGTCTCCACCGAGCGCTGGCTACTCACCGGGGGCGGGAGACAGCAGAGTGGGTAATGCTGCCCGCTGAACATCACGGAGCATGCTGGGAGTTGCTGGGCACTGCAGCCGGGGATGTGCTGGCCTGCAGGCAAGGGGAAGCCTTGGGTGGTTACTGTGGTGACGGTGTAGGACAGAGGGACAGGTCCCTGGTGCACCTGTGAGGAGAGAGAGGGCCAGGGCGCTGTCGGGAGGAAGCGTGGTCGCCAGCTCAGCCCCCAGCCCAGCCGGACGCGCCCCCCACCCCCGTACGCTGCAGACTGCCCCCCCCCAGGGCGAGGGGGTAATCCTGAGATGGGGAAGGGGCCTCCATCCCCCCCCCGGGCCTCAGTTTACCTACCTATACCTAACAGTGCGTCGCTTGGGACGTGTGAGGAGTAAAGCCGGGTGGTCTTGCCTACCTGCTCGTGGAGATCAACCATGAACGGGCTCTGCTGGGAGGCTTGGTGCAGCATTCGGGGGCTCCTGTGGGCAGGAGCCGAGGCCCGGCGCTCCTCTACGGGGAGGTGTGGGGGTTGGCGCGGTGGCTGCTGGGAGGGTAAGCTCTCATCCTGGGCAGGTGGACTGGCCAGGGGGCCCTGGCGGCCGAGGCTACACCACAGAGAGGAGGCCCCAGTAGGAATGAGGGGCCCCTACACATTCAGAGAGCAGGGAGAGGAGCCAGGGTCCCCAGCCCCGCCCCCCCCATCCGAGATGGCCCCCCCATCCCATCCAAGTAGGGAGCAGGGCGGTGGGGGGGGGGGGGGTGTCCCCTCTGTCCTACCTTCCCCAGAGCTGGCTTGGAGCGCTGCTGGGCCCCGCGGAGAATCGTCGCTGGGCTGTAGGGGCGGACGGTGGCCACCTAGTCACTGCTAGAGCCCATGGCCGCATCAGGGGAGCCGAGGGCTGGGGGGGCCAGGCCGGGGGTCACAACCCTAGGAGACAAGCAGAGCGGGACACTGAGGCCTTGGAGAGACGCAGCCCCTTGCCCAATGAGGGGTTAAGAGGAGATGGATCCAATTCCAGCCGCGTGCATGGTGCTCGGAGTCCAGTGCTCACAAGAGATCACACGGGCTCAAGCCTCAAGGAACCCAGGCCTCGGCTTCCGGCTGTGTCCAGTGGGATCACAGGGCCTGCAGGGCAGCCAGGCATTGTGGCTCCCTCCTGCCATCCTAGGTGGAGGCTGGGATGTGAGGATCGAGGTTCCAAGCCAGCCCAGACAGTGAAGTCGACTGAGCCTCTTGTCTCTAGTTAACCACCAAAGAAAACTGGAAGTAGACACATGGCTCAAGTGGTATAGGGTTAAAAAAGAAAAAAAAAACGCTAAAAGACAGTGCCTAGGCCTTGAGCCCAAGCTCCAGTACCGACATTAAGAAAAAAGCTCCAGGTTACAATGTCCTGCTAAGAGGCGTGGGCAAGGCACTGCAGTGCGGCCTCCACACCACTAGGGGGCTCCCTGGAGACACTGCTTGGAGGTCTGGGATCCAGTTCTTTTTCCATCACATTGGGGCAAAAGTTTTTCCGACTGCTTCCTGCCTCAGGGAAGGGCTCAGTCCAAGACAAAGATGTATCTATCCTGTTCCTAACCTGTTCCCCTGGTACACACAGGTGTGACTTCAACGTATTAAGGACAGTGTCATTATTATACCTTTCTTTTTTTAAAATTTTGGGGGTGCTGGACCTGGGCTTGCACTCTGTCCCTGAGCTTTTGTGCTCAAGCTAGCACTAACTAGGCCACCTGAACCCCAGTTCTACTTCTGGTTTTCTGGTGGTTCACTGGAGATGCGTCTCACGGACTTTCCTGCCCGGGCTGGCTTCCAACAGCGATCCTCAGATCTCAGCCTCCTGAGTAGTGAGGATGACAGGCGTTGAGCCATGGGCGATAGGCTATTTTACTGAGGCTCAATTAGAGAGGAATCCTGGCTGTCCCTGCAGGGGAGCGGAGGGGGAGCTTGCTCTGGGAGCCCCCAAATAGGAGGCGGGGCCTGCTGAGAAATAAGGAGGAAGAATCTGAGAGAGGAAGTTGGGCAAGAATAGGGGTGTCTCCTCCCTGTGGGTCAGACTCAGGGGTTCAGGTGAGGATCTGGCTCAGTCCAGGCTTCCTTCTACCCACTAACTCCAGAGCTAGAAACAAGCTCGTGGCAGGAAATGTTCTGGACCAGCAAGGACCTATAAAGTTGAAAGGTACACATTACCTAGAAACAACCCCCCCACACACACACCTGCTGTTCACATAGCCCAAGGAGCCCACCAACCTTCAGCTCAGAACCCCAGTCCTTCCTGCCAACAGTACAAGCTTGCTCCCCAAATCTCTGCACAGGGGAGTCCTTCTCCACTTTTGCAGGCAAAGTGGACACTTCTGCTAGGTCCAGACTCAGGCACTCGGCAAAAGGGGTTAGGCTACCATCTGGCAACGATGACACTGAATGCCAATGGCTGACACTTGGGGATCTTGCTGGGTGCTGGTGGCTCCCGCCTGTCATCCTAGCTACTTAGGAGGCTGAGATCTGAGGATCGCTGTTCAGAAGCTAGCTGGGGGGGGGGGGGGGGGGGGGCAGGAAAAGTCTCCGAGATTTCTCCAGCAAAAACCTGAGTGGCAGACCTGAGAGAAAAAAACTTAAGGGACAGCGCCTAGGTCTTGAGTTCAGTCTCCAGGACCAGCACAGAACCACCCACCGTGAGGTATTAACAAAACCACCCAGCCTCCTATGGGAAGAAAGAAGAGGGCCACACTAGGCTTTGATCCCCCTCATTCAGTGCGAAAGCTTCCTCTCCAGGTCCACCCCCCCACCCCCATCCATCCTCTGTCTCCCTACCACGGGTGACGGGGTCTGTAATCCCCACCCCCACCCCCAGCAGGCCAAGCGCACATCCTGCACATGTGTGCACACACATCCCTCACTTCCTGCTGCTGATCTGGCCACAAGAGAACAAGGGAAGCTTCAAGAAAAGCCTACAAATAACCAAAAATGCATGCTCTGGTCCACCCCAGACCTTCTGGATGTGTGTGCGCACGCGCGTGTGCGTGCGTGCATGCCAGTACTGGGGTTTGAAATCAAGGCCTAAGTGTTGAGTCTTCCCCTCAAGACCAGAGCTCTAACCACCTGGGCCACAGCTCCACTTTCGGCTTTTTGGTGGTTCATTGGAGATAAAGAGTCTCACACTTTTCTGCCCAGACTGGCTTTGAACCCAGATCCTTAGATATCAGACTCCAGTGACACTTGGATTTTTATCACATTCCCCAGCATTTTCTTTCTTTCTTTCTTTTTTTGGCCAGGCCTGAGCACTGTCTCTGAGCTTCTTTTGCCCAAGCCTAGCGCTGTACCACTTGAGCCATAGCACCACTTCCAGCCTTTTCTGTGTAGGTGGATGGAACCCAGGGCTTCATGCACGCGAGACAAACACTCTACCACAGAGCCACCTTCCCAGGCCTCCCCCAGCAGTCTCTAAGGCCCAGCCCAGCTTAGAAACCTCAGCCTTTGGCTGGGATCCTGGGAGAACTATGCTAACTCCTATGGACCAGCTTGGCAAGTTCTGACAGTAGCTCTTGCAGGTGATAACACAGGCTGTGTGTCCAACCGAGGGTTACACACTAAGCCAGTGGTCTCCACTGTTCCTGTGTATCTATCTGGTTGTCTCCTGAGGCTAGGCAAGTGCCAAGACTCAGGGGTGCCGATGCAGGGGCCCAGGGGTGTGGGAATCTGCAGATCCACTACAAAGGGACCCACTGCTCAGGGAAGGGAAGAGGTAAGGAGCTGAGAAACAGAACCAGCAGGCAGAAGGGCCTCTGGCTGGGAGGCAACGGTGGCAGAGGTGACAGGGTTGCCAAGTACAGTTCCACACTTAACACCCTCAGCTCCTGCCTAGAATCTTGGATGGAGACTTCAGACGGGAGATCCCTCCCGGCCTCAGTTTCCTTGTCTGTAAAATGGGAACAATGCACACTCTATCTCCCAAGCCGGCGCTGGTGGGCCACACCTGTCATCTTGGCTACTCTGTAGACTGAGATTTGAGGCTGGCTGAGCTCAGACAATCATGGCTCAAAGCCAGCCTGGCCCGATCAATCTGAGAGACTCTCGTTTCTAATGAACCAGCTAACGGCCCAGAAGCACAAGACCCTGAGTTCAAGTCCCCGTTTTGGCACATACACATGCAAAAGGATTTCCTCAAAAGGCACAGCAGAATCCAACCAGTGGGGTGTGTGTGATCACTAGAAGCCATTCCCAAGCAGAAACAAAGCACCCCTTCTTTCAAGGCTGCAGGCAGCGGTGGAAATATGCTGCCCTCATGAAGAGAACCTCCGAATTCTCTTAAGTGGGCCCAGGGTCTAGAAGAGCTGAAAGGACACACCCACTTTGCAGCTAACATAACTGAGGTCCTAGGGAAGGAACTTGCTCTAGGCCACAAAACCAGAGAGGAACAGAACTGATCCTGGCAAGGACTTAGGCCCAGACTCCTCCAACCCCTGGCTCACGCACTGACTGGCATTAAAGCCCAGGACAGAAGCCTTCTTTTCTCACCTGTAACCTAAGCTAAGGGAGGCAGGAGAGGGTGTTTGTTCTCTCTTAGGCACCTGTGAAGAACTCTGCCAGTGGATTCAAGGCGTGGGGTGAATCTAGCAACTTGTTCAAGGTCAAACAGCAAGGGGCGATCAGGAGGCCACCCCTGAACAGCGCTGCTTTTCCATGCCTGCACAGCGCCAGTGAGGTCTGCCAATGGTTCTTCAGAGACCCATCAGTGCACGCAAGCAGAGCAATCCCAGCAGTCTGACCCTCCACACCCACACGCCCCTCCCATCAGCCAATTCCCAAGTTCAAGTACCCACTCTGACCCTAGCCAGGGCAGCCCCTGGCCCTGTCCTTTAGGCCAGGGGGAGGTGGGGTCTGTCAACCAGGAAAGAGTGCTTCCTCTGGGCCAAGTCCAGAGCTGGGAAACAACGGCAGGTTCAGGCCCCACTTCCGTCCTACCCTGGCCCGCCCCCCACTCCACAGAGGAGCTCCCCAAAAGGCAGGCGGGCGGGACCCCCACACCCCAAAGAAACCTAGACACCAGGATGACCTTGGCCAAGGAAATCCTCAGTCGCCACAACTGTAAAATGGGGGTTGGAGATCTCTCCTCCCCAGGGCACCTCTTGATAAAAGAAAAGGGGGTGGGGGTCAGAAAAGACAAGCAAGAAAGCCAGGTGGGCCCCAGACTCCTGGGGGGGGGGGGATAAGGCTGCCCTCCCTCCCCCCCGCGCCCCCCCCCGGCAGGCCAGGCGCGGGTTGTGGGGGGGCCCCCAGGGAGCTCCCAGAAGTCCCCCCGTCCTCCGGGGATGGGGCTCAGGCTCGGACACCGGCCCAGCTCCCGTCGCCCCGCGCTCGGAGGGGAAGGGCGGGGAGGGGAGGGGAGGGAGAGGCCGGGCTGCAGCCCCGGGGGGCGGGGGGGCGCCCCCGGCGCGCTGTGACTTTAAGAAGCGAGGAGCCCGGACCATGTGCTCGGCGTGAGACAAAAGCAACAACAAAGGAAGTGGCGGCCGCCGGGGGAAGGGGCGGCTCCTTCCTCCCCGACCGCGGCGCTCGGCCCCGGGAGGGGGGGCGGGGGGGCCCGGCCCGGCCCGGGGAGCGGGGGGGGCACGACGGAGAGGGGGTTCCCCCTCCCCGAGCTCAGCGATCGGGACCGCCCTCCATTAACCCCTGCAGGGCCAGCTGGCCAGGCCTCCCCCCCCCCGTCCCTCCCCCGCCCGCCCTCCCCGGGAGGGGGGGGGAGGACTGGAGTTTCAGGGCCCCGGGGGAGGGAGGGTGTGTGTGGGGGTCGGGGAGGGGGGGATCGGGAGTGGGGAGCCCCGGCCCGCACTCACCTGCGGCCGGCCGGCCTCACGACCGCTTCTTTGTTCGCGATCCGGGATGGTGGAGACGCGCGGGGGGTGGGGGGGGGGGCCGGCCCGGACCCCTCGGCGAGTCCCCGCCCTGCGGAACAATGTGCTCCCTCTCCCCGCCCCGGGCCCGGGGGGGGGGATCGCCGGCTCCTTCCGGGGGGGGGGCCCCCTCTCGTCTTTGTTGTCCGCCGGACGCCGTCCGCCGGCTCGGCGCGGGGCTCACGCGCGCTCGGCCGCACGGCCCGGGGCCTAAGGGGCGCGGGAGGCGGCGCTGGACGCCGCCGGGCTGCGCGGGGGCCGGCGGCTGGCCCTTTAAGAACTGTCCGCGGCGGCGGCGGAATGTAACAAACCCCACATTTGATTCACAACATTCGGGGCGGCGGGGTCGCGCGCCGGGGCGGGAGGGGGGCGTGGGGGGGGCGCGCTCGCGGGGGCGCGCCCGGCGGCGCCCGCAAACAGTAGCCCCGGTGCGAGCCCGCGGCGGCCCCGCCCCGCGCCGCAGGCCCCGCCCCGCCGCCGCAGGCCCCGCCCCGCCGCGCCGCCGCCGGCCAATCGCGGCCCGCCCTCCGCCACGTGACCACGAGGCCGCCATCTTAAAAGCCAGACCGAGGGGGGGGCGGGCGCGGGGGGGAAAAAAATCCCTCCGATTCGTGCCCCCCCCTCACTTAAAGTCACCGCAGTCACAGCCCAAGGCGAGGGGCGGGGCCTCGGGGCCCGAGCGGAGCGCCGGAGCCCCCCGCCGCGCGCCCGCCGCGAGCTGGCCCGGCGAGCTCGCCCGCCACCCCCGCCTCGCAGGCTCCGCGGCTTCCCCGGGCGAGTTCCTCCAGCAGCAGCGCCGCCAGGCCGCACTTACCGTGTCATGGCCGCCTCCTCGGGGCCAGGGCGCCTCCGGGGACGCTTCCGTGCGACGGGGCTGACCTCCGGTGCAGCGACGGGGGTGGGGGGGGGGGAAGCTTCTCAAACCGGCGCGGGTGGCTAGGATGGTCCCACCAGCCCCTGAGCCCGCAACCTCCCCGGAGATGACGTCACCGCCAAGAGGTGCCGGACCGCGGTGACATCATGGCCTCCCCTCCCCTCCCCCCCCCGGCGCGTCTTGTTTATACGCAGCGGCGCCTTTAAAAACGCTGGGACCGCCCGGATTGTCCAAACGGGCCAATGAGGGGCGGCCTATGCAAACGAGCTCAAGCCTACCGGGCCCCGGGGATTGGCCCGACGCGCGCTGACGTCACACACACCCTTGACTGCCCCGCCCCCCGGCGTGGAGGGCCGGCGGAAAGGGGCGGGGCGCGGGTGCGGTTGAAGGCCGAGCCCGGGCTCGCGGTCCCGGGGCTGGGCTGCGGGGGGGGACCCCGCGCGACCCCATCCCGGGAAGCCGAGCTCACCGAGGCTTCTGGGCTGGAGACTGGCGATGATGGGTGTTTACGGTGACAGACTCTTTTTATCTCCACTGAACCAAACACCTGGGAGGAGTTGGTGGCTCAAGTGGAAGGTGTGGGGGGGGGGGGGTTAAGGGGCAGCAGCGCCTCCAGGTCCTGAGTTCGAGCCCCGGGGCTGGCAGCCTAGATAAAAGAGCAAGGTTCAAACCCTGGCCCCACTCTTCCCCTTCCTGCTTCGTGGGGAAACAGTGTCTTCCTCCTGCGACTGTATGTTAAATAGGCCTGGGGGAGGGGGGGGTGCTTAAGTGCAAGCTGTCCTGGTCAATCCTTTTGGGGTCCCCCTCTGCCAGCCCCACTCCCACCACCCTTGCTGGGTGCCCTCTCTGGCTGTCCCTGACTGCCAGTCCTTCTTTTCCACCTGGATCCTCTTTCTTTCCTACCTTTTTCAAGCTGCTCTACCACACCAGTTTCCAAGAGCTGTGTACTCAGCTCCACACACACACCCCCATCTTTGCCTACCGCCTAGATCCCCTGTCTTCCCCCCCCCCCCAGCTTCACCTCATGCTATTTAATCTGCCTGTTACTATCCCTCCGCCCCCCTCCCCTCCCCACCTGGCAGGGAAAGTTCAGCCTTTTTATCTGTATTCATTTTCCTCAAGGTACTAGGGGCTTTTGAACTCAGGGCCTGGGGCTCTGGTTCCTTAGCTTTCACTACCCAAGACTGGTGTTCTAGCGCTTGAGCCACAGCTCTGACTTCGGGCTTCTTGGTGGTTTATTGGAGACAAAGAGTCTCATGGTCTTTCCTGCTTGACCTGGAATTGGAATCCTCATAGCTGGGATTAGAGGTGTGAGCCAAGGGTGCCCAGTACATATCTTGCTTTTTTTTTTTTTTTTAACCTGGTAGGATTAATCCCACCTTGCCAGTAAAAGCAGTAGAGTATTTCCATGGGGCTCTTCTGCCACCTCTCCAGCCAGGCCATCACCTAGTCCTGGCCTGGCTCACTGGTACTGGATGCTCAAAGGAAAGGCTGTGGGATGAGAGGCCCCTGGTCATAGTTGGTCAAGAGCTACCCTTCCCCGCCCCATACACGCTTTTCTCTTTCTCCATTCTTTCATTTCCCTAGGCTGGGCCTAGTCCTGGAAGTCCTCAATAAATCCCAGAGACCAAAAGGTCTTGAGTATATGCAAAACACAGCCCAACTTTATCCAACTTCTGAATGTTTCCATAAAACCCAGAAATTCTAGACTTTGCTTCAAAATCCTGTGCTTTGGAACCCCCCATGTGGAGATAGAAACTGGCACTCCTAGCTCCTGCCTGCCCCCCATCTCACCCTGCCCCCAGGAGGGAAGGTACTGTTCTCTTTCACCGTGGAAAGTGGGTCCAAGACAGGAAGTCTCTGCCCTTGCCACAGAACCCAGAAGCCTGGCCGGCCTCCTGAGCTCCAGAACCACATGTGTGATGTCCTGATTTTGCCACTGCCTCTTGCAAATCTGTGGTGGAAGGCAAGGAAGGCCTTAGGGTCTCCTGCCAGGTCTGATCATCTCAGTGACCTCCATTATAGAGAGAAACTGAGGCAAAAAGCCATATGTCTCTCTTTTTTTTTTTTTTTTGGCAGTCATAAGTCTTGAACTCTGGGCCTGGACTCTGTCCCTCAGCTCTTCAGCTCAAGGCTAGCGCTCTACCACTTGAGCCACAGCGCCACTTCCCGGGCTGGCTTTGAACCTCGATCCTCACATCTCAGCCTCCTGGGTAGCTAGGATGACAGGTGTGAGCCACCGACATTATGTGTCACTTTTTATCAAGGGGCAAACTTAGGGTCACATTTGTATGTGTGCCGGTACAGGGGCTTGAACTCAGGGCCTAGGCATTGTTCCTTAGCTTTTTCTGCTCAAGGCTAGTGTTCTACCACTTGAGCTAAACCTCTCCTGGCTTTTTTGCTGCTTAGTTAGAGGTCTCAGGGACTTTTCAGTTTTCCTGGCTCCAACCAGAAGTCCTCATATCTTACCCTTCCAAGTAGCTAGGACTACAGGTGTGAGCCACAAGGTGCCTGACTTTTTATTTATTTTTTTTTTGGGGGGGGGGTCCAGTCGTGGGGCCTGAACTCTTGGCCTAGGTGCTGTCCCTCAGCTCTTCAGCTCAAGGCTAGCGCTGAACCACTTGAGCCACAGCGCCACTTCTGGCTTTTTTTCTTTTTGCTTATGTGGTGCTGAGGAATTGAACCCAGGGCCTCATGCATGCAAGGCAAGCGCTCTACCACCAAGCCACCTTCCCAGCCCCGTGCCTGACTTTTTAAGTTTGGGTCATACAATGCAAATAGCAACTCTGGATCTCTGGTGATCACTGAGGCTGCTCAAGAATCTGGAGCCACCCCATGAGCTGGTGGCTGACACCTGTCATCCTAGCTCCCCAGGAGGCTGAGATCTGAAGACCCCAGCTCAAAAGCAGCCCAGGCAGGAAAGTCTGTGAGACTCTTATCTCCAATGAGCCACCAGAAAACCAGAAGTGGCGCTGTGGCTCAAAGCGGTAGAGAGCTAGCTGTGAGAGAAAAAGTTCAGGGACAGCACCCAGACCCTGAGTTCAAGCCCCACAACCAAAACAGAAAGTAAAAGGAAAAATCCAAGGCCTGGATATTCCCAGATCAGGAGAGAGACCTCAGGCTCAGGTACTAGTGGATGGCTCCAGGTGACAAGATGGAGGGTTTGCACAGAGGGGATCTGGTTGTGACCCAAGTACAAAGCACTATTACCACACTCCAGCTTCCTCTGCCAGGCTGCCCAGGCAGATGGGAGGGGCTTGGGCAGGCCAAGGCAGGAAGAAGAGGGTGTGGCCCTCATTTCCCAGGGGGCCCTGCTCCGCCAGGGTTTCCACCTCCCCCAGATCCTGCATGTCAGAAAATACTCCCCCTCAAACCTTCCTCCAAACAGGACACAGTAACTTTCCCAGGGTGCACCACCTCAGGACACACAGCACAACAAGACAGAGCCAGGGCTGGTCTCGACCTGACATAGCACAGAGTACGGGGACCGAGCCTGGAGTCACCCCAGAGAAGAGACAGCTAGGCCCCCTTGTAGGCTTCTCTGCTCTGGGCAGGACGGAATGCACCTGAACCCCAAACTACCTTCATTCACAAGAACTGACCCATGCCAGGAAGAGGGCGTGAGGCTCTATCTCCAATGAGCCAACAAAAAGCAGGACTTGCGGGGCTGGGAAGGTGGCTCAGTGGTAGAGCGCTTGCCTTGCATGCCTGAGGCCCTGGGTTCGATTCCCAGCACCACATAAGCAAAAAGAAAAAAGCTGGAAGTGGTGCTGTGACTCAAGTGGTAGAGCACTAGCCTTGAACTGAAGAGCTGAGGGACAGTGCCCAGGCCCACAGTTCAGGCCCCACGACCGGACCCTCCCCCCCCAAAAAAAGGCAGGACTTGCTTGAGCTGTGGCTCCAGTGGGTAGAGAGCCAGCCTTGAGGGGGAAGAAGCCAATTCAAGCCCCAGTCCCAGCAAACAAAAACATAAGAGTAAATAAATAAAAGCTCCAGCCTGTCATCCTAGCTACTCAGGAGGCTGAGATCTGAGGATCACAGTTCAAAGCCAGCCTGGGCGGGAAAGTTGGTGAGACTCATCTCCAATGAACCACCAGAAAACCAGAAGGTTGGGGACATCTGTAAAGAGGGGTCAGCCCGTGGCTCCCGCCTGTCATCCCGGCTACTCAGGAGGCTGCGATCTGAGGATCACGGTTCAAAGCCAGCCCGGGCAGGGAAAGTGAGACTCTCTTTATCTGCAATGAACCACTCAGAAAACCGGAAGTGGCGCTGCCCAGGCCCTGAGTTCGAGCCCTAGGAGGGCCACACTTACCACACTTACAAAGTATGCCACTCGGGGAGGAGTGAGATGGGTGGGGATGTGGGGAGCAGCCGAAGGGTCCCCCTTCTCCCCCTCGCCTCCCTGCCCCCCCCACCATTAAGCACAACGGGCTCGAAGCCCCCGCGGGCCCGCTCCCGGAACCCGACGCGGGGATCCAGCCGTGGCGATCGAGCATGCGCGCGGCGCAAGGCTCCCTGGGACTTGTAGTTCGTGCGGCACTGCCAGAGTCGGGACACTGCAGGGAAAACGGCGCGGCACTGCTTCTCCCGGGACGGAGAACCAGCCTAAATGTGGGAGCCCCCCCCCACCCCACCGCTACTCTGCTTGCCCGGGCCGCCCATAACCGCCACGTCCTCTCCGCACTCCAGGCGCTCCGAGTCTGGCGGCGGCGGCGGCCCGGCGTTACCTGGGGGCCGCGGCGGGGGCTCCACCCCCACCGGGCGGCGGCGCGTCGCTTCCGCTGCAGCCAGCTGCGGCCCACCCCCCCCCCCCCTCGGTCCGTGCAGTGGAACCGTCCACGGACCTCACCACTCAGGCCGTGCGGGGGAGGCGGGGCCAGCAGAGGCGCGTCGGCTGCGCGGCCTCGGGCCGTGCTCTCCCTGCTCGCGCGAGAATGGATCTGCCTGGACTGTACCATGCACGCGGCGGGGGGGGGGGGAAAGGAGCTGGCGGCCACGCCCACTCGGGGGCTGGGCGGCCGAGGGCGCGCTCTAGGGCAACGCATCCCACTTACTGCCTCGGTGACTTTTGGGACTCTTCGCTCCCTGGAGTGTTTGGGAAGGAGATCGGGGGGGGGGGGGGGGTTTCCCACTCTGGGTCATTCTCTGGGCCTCAAGCTGAGTTCACGTCTGCCCCCAGGGGAGCGAGGATACCTTCTGCAGGAGGACGAGGG